TCACATACCTTGAAAACTAGTTACAGGATTCCAGACTCGGATTCCCTGAGTTTTATTACTCAGAAGTGACTTGGATCAGCTTCAATGCAGCTTGAAACTTGCTCACTGCCAAAACCTTAGTGAAAATATCAGCAGGATTCTTTTCAGTCGATATCTTCACTACCTCTACCTTTCCATCCGCAATAACCTCACGAATGTAATGATACTTCACATCGATGTGCTTTGTTCTCTCATGGTGGACATTGTTCTTTGAGAGAGCAATAGCACTCTGTGAATCACAGTGTACTTCAACACTTCTTTGTTCATAACCAAAATCCTTCAACAAACCTTTCAACCAAACATCTTCCTTGACTGCTTCAGTGAGCGCCATGTACTCTGATTCTGTGGTTGAAAGAGCGACAACACGCTGCAGTCCTGACTTCCAGCTTATGGTGTTGCCTCCTAGAGTAAACACCAGCCCTGTAATAGATCTTCTCTTATCTGGATCAGCAGCGTAATCAGCATCACAGTATCCCACTATCTTGAACTCTGAACTTCTCTTGTAGCATAATCTCGTTTTAAGAGACCCTTTGATGTATCTCAATACCCACTTTACTCCTAGCCAATGTTCACTGATCGGCTGGCTCATATAGCGGCTGATAATACCCACTGCATATGCTAGATCAGGTCGAGTTCCCACCATTGCATACATGACGCTTCCGACTGCATTTGAGTATGGAATGCTTTTCATAACATCGGCATCTCTTGCTAAACTTTCTTCAGTTGCTGCACACATCTTCAGGTGAGCTCCAAGTGGTGTCACTGTATGTTTAGCTTCGCTCATGTTGTAGGTTTCCAGAACTTTCTCCAGATACCCTTCCTGAGACAGCCAAAGAGACCCTGCAACTCTATCTCTTGTGATTTCCATTCCTAAAATCTTCCTTGCAGCGCCGAGATCTTTCATCTCGAACTTCACACTCAGCTCCTTCTTAAGTTGCGTGATTGCTTCCATATCATTCGCAGCAACAAGCATATCATCCACATACAGAAGCAAGTACATCATCGAGCCATTGGACAATAGCTTAGTGTAGGCACAATTGTCATAATGGCTTCTTACAAAACCGATCTCAGCCATATAGTTGTTAAACTTTTCATTCCACTGTCTTGGCGCTTGTTTAAGACCATATAAAGCTTTGTTGAGAAGACATATCTCATTCTCTTTAAACATGGATTCATACCCTTCAGGTGGTGACATGTAGATCTTCTCTGTTAACTCTCCATGGAGGAAAGCCATTTTCACATCTAACTGCTCCAACTCTAGATCTTCTTGAGCAACTATGGTGAGTAGAATCCGGATTGAAACATGCTTCACTACTGGTGCGAAGATCTCATGATAATTTATCCCTTCTCTCTGTGCATAACCCTTGGCGACAAGCCTATCTAGCTTTGAACCTTGGTTCCTCCACCCCTGGAATTCCCATCTTATACTTGTATATCCAGCGGCTCCCAATAATCCTCTGCTTTTCTGGTTTAGTCACTGTAGTTCAGGAGTGATTCTTCATTTGTGAATTCATCTCCTTGTCCATAGCACTACTCCACTTATCCCAGTTTGAATCCATTCTTGCTTCTCTGTAGTCTGCAGGCTCGATAGTATCTCCATCTTCTGTTGTACAGAGAGCTTCTGCGTAATATTCTTCATCAGCAAAACGTTTTGGAGCTTTGTGTATTCTTCTTGGTCTGTCTCTACCAATGTGATAGCTTCTTGGTGATCGAATTACTTCAACTCCAGCATCACTTTCAGTTTCTTCTCCCAAGCGTGTAGAAGAGCTTTGACTAGCAGGAACTGGTGTAGAAGGTCCATCGTCTTGATCTCCACCCGAAGAGATATCCACATCTGCTGCAATGTCAAGCTCCATATATGACCCGACATGATCCTCTTCTTCTGTGACGATATCTTTACCTTTCTGCAGTAGATCCTTGTAAACTGCATTTTCTTGAAAGATAACATTCCTGCTCACTACACACCTCTTCTCTTCTGTTAGCCAAATCTTGTACCCCTTTACCCCACTTGAATATCCAATCAGAACACCCTTCTTAGCTCTTGGATTCAGCTTGCCATCGTCTGTATGGACAAAGGCAACACAACCAAACATCCTTAAATAACTGTAATTTGGAGATTTCCCATACCATTTCTTGTCAGGTATCTCAAAATTTAGAGCCGCTGAAGGTGTTTTGTTGATCAATGTCACTGCTGTATGCGTTGCCTCTGCCCAGAACTTCTTAGGAAGGCTTGAATCGCTGAGCATACTTCTGACTTTATCCATGATCGTGCGGTTCATCCTCTCAGCAACACCGTTCTGCTGTGGGGTGTAAGCACATGTCCGATGTCTTTGAATCCCTCTTTCTCCGCAGAACTCATCAAAACTTCTATTGCAGAACTCAAGACCGTTGTCTGTCCTCAACGTTTTGACTTTACTTTCACTAAGATTCTCCACCAGACTTATCCATTCCACGAATCTGTCAAATGCTTCATCTTTGGTTTTGAGAAAATACACCCATACCTTGCGAGTGTAGTCATCGATGAAGGAGATGAAGTACTGACATCTCCCAAACGATAATGGTACTGAAGGTGCTCCCCATAGGTCTGAGTGGACATATTCTAGCTTCTGTGTTGTATCGTGTTAAGCAAGTGTGAATCCTACTCGCTTTGCTCTTCCAAACACGCAGTCTTCACATAGATCGAATGTTGAGACTTTCTTCTTGTCCAAAAAACCTTTCTGCAGCAGTATCTTCATGTTCTTCTGGCTCATGTGACATAGTCTTCTATGCCAAAGAACAGTATCATCTTGTCTTGCTGCAACGGCATGTGACTCCTCAATTGCAGCACTCCACTTAAGCAAGTAGAGTGTCTTATACCTTCTTCCAGTGAACAAGACTCTGTCCCCAGCTTTAATGCTTAGAGTACCATTTTCATTCGAATTTGTACCCCGCTTTCTCAAATGTTCCCAAAGATAAGAGATTTCTGTCAATTTCCGGGGATGTACCTCACGTTGGTTAGCAATACAGTCAAGCCATCTTCATTCTTGATTCTGATGCTGCCCACTCCTTTTACTTTCGATACTGTCTTGTTTCCCATTCTGACAGAACCTCCTGCATCCTCATCTAAGTCCTCGAACCACTCTTTCTTGTATGTCATGTGATAGCTGTAACCAGTATCCATGATCCACTCATCTTCTAGATGAATCTCTGTTGATGACAGAGCCTCTGAAACATATAACCCAGCTGCTTCAGCTAAGTTTCCTTTTCCATTTGAGGTTTCCCCTCTACTGTTTCCACCATCTCATGGTTTATACTGAGCTTTGTTCTTGTTGGGACAGGTATTCTTGAAGTGGCCTTCTTCTCCACACGTCCAACAGCCCTTTTTGCTCTTAGACTTAGAACGTGACTTGTTACCTTTCTTTCCCTTCTCACGTTGCTCGCTTCTTCCTCTTTCATTCTTTCCTTTTGCATAAAGAACTTCTGCCTGCACTTTAATACTCTTCTTGCTTGAACCAAGTTCCAGTTCCTTTGAGTATATAGCAGTAACAACCTCATCAAGCGTCAGAACCGTTCTTCCTTACCCATATCTTAAGGTGTCTTTAAGCTGATCGAATGGCTTGGGGAGAGACATCAGTAAGAGAATCGCTTGATCCTCATCTGAGACAATAACTTCCATGTTTTCTAGATCTTCTACAATCGATAGAAACTCATCGATGTTGCCTTCTACAGACATGTTCTCAGACATCTTGAATCCGTATAGCTTCTGCTTCAGATAGATCCGGTTTGGGAGAGCCTTAGACATGTAAAGCTGATCTAGAGCTTTCAACATTTCGACTGCAGTCTTCGCCTTTTTCACTTTCCTCAACACCCTATCTGTAAGACTTAAAACAATGATGCTCCTTGCTCTTTTCATCTTCTCTTCATATGCTTCAATCTGTTCATCAACCACAAGCTTTTCAAGATCTGAGCTGGCTTTAGACTTATCGAAAGTTGGCTCCTTGAAAACAACACTTAGACCCAAAATATCCAGCTGAGCTTCCAGCTTCTCTTTCCACATCGTATAATCTCTCTGACCGTCAAACTTGTCCATTTCAACCCTTGTTGTAGTCATGGCTCTTGCTTGTGAAAGCTACGAGCCACAAGCCGTAACCTGGCTCTGATACCAAGCTGTTAAGTCTGCGGACCCTTAAGACGTCGACTTTCTTCAAGGAGGCGACAAAACAAGCACAACCTCGAGTGAGATGAACTGAGTATTCCCTGGACTTTTTTGGAGAAACAGAGGATGAGGAACAGAGTATTTGAGACGAGGGAAGAAGAAACAGAGTATCGAGAGAGAAATGAGAGCAGGGGAGCACACAGAGAATTTTACGAGTTCACTCCCTTGCGGGTAGCTACGTCTCGCGGAGTCCTAGACTCGGAATCCACTAGTTTATAAGAGAGAATACAACAGTAGTAGTTACAAGTGATCCACCCTAATGCTCTTCACTAGCACTTAGAGCACGCTTCGTAACACCTATGTAACAAGAAGAAAACGATACAAGTTTATACTTAAAGCTTTCTCTTTTCTCTCTATTCTCAAGCAATCTTATGACTTGCTTCTACACCTCTCTCTTTCGCCATTACCGCCTCTTTATAGTGGCTTCTCCGTAGGGCTTCCTCGCTTGATGCCAAAAACTCATACACAGCTGTTCTTTGTACCAAAAGGGCCACCGTGTGCAAGCCGACAATACTACCTATTTGCTATCATTAACAGACCGTTGCAGACTCCAGATTTGTAGTATTCGGCTGTAACAATAAGTGGTCCCAAAAGCAGCTGCTCTTTAACTCTACTCCGATTAACTTGACTAGAGTTCCAACCATGAGTAAACCTTGTTGGCATATTCAAATGTTGGTTGTTCATCACGATAACAGTCTTCACAAATACCATCAGCACTTGATTTCTTCCTCTCCAAGGAAACCTCAACAAGCTTTGTCTTCAACCAGTCTAGCTTGAAGTCTGCTTGTGTTAGATCGATCAGCTTGCTGCGAGCGTTGCTTAGCTCAGTCTCGGATAAGCTATGTGGAGGTTTGTTTAATGCCTCGACGAGACCGAGTAAGATATTCATGTATGTCGTCCTCACCAATTGGTTCTTTGTTTTGAAATTTGCTGCAATGTCCGGGTGCTTCCTGAAAAGCCTACTCACTGAAGCCACCTGTCAACAAGAGATACACGTAAATCAACAACTTCAACTATGTCCAATCGCATAAAAGAAAATCAAAAATAGAAGAGAAAAATACAAGAAGAAGCATCTCCTTCCAAGTTTACATACCTGAGAATAAAGAACTTGGAACCATAAAGAGAAAAATACAAGAAGAAGCATCTCCTTCCAAGTTTACACATCTAAGGTCTCATTCCCAGTTACTTCGGATTCATCAACAACTTCAAGTACTTTTACTTCCACTTTTAAAATCAGTTTGTTATTCTCCATAAATCCTTTTTTCTAGAAGCTTTTTAAGAGGCACAGCTCATGTTTTGCCCCATGCTGAGAACTGGGCGCAGAACAATTGGCACGATTCTGCAAGACAAAAACAGAAAGATTAAGTTAAATTTTCTCAAATACACACAGTTTACGTCTGGCAAGTTAAATTAATTACCAGGTTGTCTGAAGAGCTCTTTGCCAGATTGATTCAACAGAAGGAAGGAATAAGAAGCTCTTCTTTTCCATCCAAGTCGCAATGATTCACGATTCGCAACGTGGAGGTACAGAGACAAGTGATCATCAAAACCAAGGTCTCCTTTGGGATAAACCTTAAGATAACTTCCAAAAAGAAAGGAAACAGATTTAACTAAACAAAGACAAGTTACTACTTATTGAACCTAGAATATAAGTTAGGAATTAAAACACAATATATCATTTTTGCCTTTACCATTCTCAGCTGCCGCTTGAGAATGTTGGAGATCGTATCAAACCTTCCTTCTTAGAGAAGTTACTTATCTCAAACGTGAAACTCGTTTGCTTCTGATCCTCCATCTCTCTATAAAAAAAAAAATGTTTTTCTTTTCGTAGGCTTTATTACTTCCGACCAAAACACGACTTTAATTCCTCACAAACTTACCGACTGAAATTAGGGTTCTCAGGACAGGACAAATTTTGGGGGAATATAAGATGACGATATGCACATGACTTATGTCACGGTGGCCCGTGGGCTTAGGTTTCGACGCGTTTAAGTTAACTCTCACAGGTTAAGTTATACATATGAATAAAATAGAACTAGGTTATCAGACTAAATTTTGAAGATTGAGGCTTGTATTCAAATTGATTCTACGTATGAGTATAATTTAAAAGTTTTGTGGCCACACGAATCACGTCATTGGTACATTTATACAGAGGTTACAGAGTATGTAAGGAAAGATAATATTTAATATTTACAGAGGAGATATCCGATGCTTGAATCACGGCAATGATGTGTGAATTGTCAATTAAGGTGGATCTCTAATAGGGGATTCCACATAATGACTATACTTTACAGTATTTGGATAAAACTGTTTCTGTCGCTTCTCTCAACTTGGAAGATGATAAAACTTGGGAATGAATGATCCCAGCATTTTCACGCTTAACTTGCTGCTTAATGGTTATACTGTTTGGCTTTGAATTACGCTTATGTTATTGATGATGGTCTCTGCATTCGACCTATTCAGTGAAAGGGAGAACTGAGAACAAAGGGATTAGACAAAATGTTGTCACCTACAGAGCTCCCTCATAAGTTGCCTTTGTAATTACGTAAGATGGAGCGATGCTTCCGGACTACTAAGCGATATGATGGAGAAGAAAATCAACCCCAATGTATTGACTGATGCGTTCCTGAAAGAGAGTAAACTTTTAGAGGCCGAAAAGCTGTACCAAGAAATGATCGAAAGGTCAATAGATCCTTGACATTTTCACATACAGTTCATTGATCAATGGGTTTTGCATGCAGAGTCGCTTAGAGGATGGCATGGAACTGTTTCGTTAGCAACACAGTCACTTACAACACTCTTGTCCAAGGGTTCTTCAAATCTGGCGACTGTGGTAATGCACTACAAGTTTTCAAACATATGGTTTCTGCTGGACATACAACAGTGTCTGATCTCAGAGCTGAGCTGGGCTTTGTAATAACGGGAAGCATTGGTCATATTCCACGACACGCAGAAGAGTGAAATGGAAAAGTGAAATGGAACCTGATGTCTTCACTTATAGTATACTGATTCAGAATTTGATCGAATATGATCTATAATCCAATTAAGTCGGACCATATACTGATTCAGACGACCATAAAACTCAGAATTTATTGATTTGTAAAAGAAACCAGAAAACCTAGTAAATAAAATGTTTTTTATTCTACTTTTTCATTACAGAAGATCCGCGTAATCCAATAGTTCCCAAGAGTGAATAACACCCTCGAGCACGTCGTCTTTTGAAGTAGTAGATTTGGCCTTCTCCTTGCTCAGCTCAGCTCTGAGATCAGACACCTTCTGCTCCAACGACAAAACTTTAGCAGCACAAGTAGCAGATTTGACCTTTTCCGTGTCCAGTTCAAAGTTGAGATTCTTGACTTGTTCCGTGGCCTGGACTCGAGAAACATCATCATCATTTGCTTTCTTCCTTTCCAAGGAAAGCTCATCAAGCTTTGTCTTCAACCAGGCCAGCTTGAAGCCTGCTTCTGTTAGCTCGATCAACTCCCTGCGAGCGTTGCTTAGCTCAATATCGGATAAGCTTTGTGGAGGTTTGTTCAATGCCTCGATGAGACCGAGTAAGATATTCATGTATGTTGTCTTAACTAGTTTGTTCTTTGGTTTGAAATTTGTTGCAAAGTCCGGGTGCTTGGTGAAAAGTCTACTCACTGAAACAAGCTATTGACAGGAGAAAGGTGTAATTACGTTAACCAGAAAAAGTGAATCATAACGAATAAAGAAGACAACGAGAAGCATCCTTGAAATAGTCATACCTGAGAATAAAGAACTTGGAACCCTTCCACATCAAAGGTCTCGTTCCCAGTTACTTCTGATTCATGAACAACTTCAACTACTTTCACTTCCACTTTAACTATCAGTTTGTTATTCTCCAGAAGCCCTTTTTCTTGAAGCTTTTTAAGAGGCACGGTCCTTGGCAAACCCCATCCTGGGACCTGAGCGCAGAACAACTTGCACCTTAATACTGTAAGACAGAAACATAGAGATTATTAATTCATTTAAATTTTCTTGCTCGACAATCAGATATATTATACAGTTTACATCCGCTAAGTAAATTACCATCTGTTCTATAGAGCTCTTTGCCTGATTGATTCAACAGAAGGAAGGAAAAGGTAGCTCTTCTTTTCCATCCAAGTCGCAGTGATTCACGATTCGCAACGTAGAGGTTCAGAGCCAAGTGATCTTCAATATTGTCTCCTTTGGGATAAACGCAAACATACCTGAAATAAAAAAGAAAGGAAACAAATTTAACTAAACGCTTAAGTTACAAACATAATAACAGAGGCAAGTTACTTAATGAAAACTGAAGGAAAAAAAAATCTAATCTGAATGACAACAACGCAAACATCAAACTAATCAAAATTCTTAAGATGAGTTAAAAGTGGAAACACGCACTTTAATATAATGTTTTCACTTTTCACTAACCATTCGCAGCCGCCGCTTAAGAATTTTGGAGATGGTATCACACCTTCCTTCTCCGAGAAGTTATCTATCTCAAACTTGCAACTCGTCTGCTCTTGATCATCCATATCTAACCCAAAACGCTCCTGTTCTTTTCTTCGGCTTTGTTATTTCCGAGCAAAAACTACTTGAGTTTTCTCACAAACTTGTTGACTGAAATTAGGGTTCTCATAACAAGTTGGGGAATATAAGATGACGATATGCAAGTGACTTGGTCATGGCCCATGGGCTTAATTAAAAGGATAATACCACTAAATGGCAAAAGAATGATAGTCAATTAAGTAAACAACAAAACCTATTTATAAGTTTAAACATAAAATTAATTAATCACATATTTAGACTATTATATCTTCATATTTATTACGCGCTCTGAACATTTTTGTTCATTCAAAATTATCAATAGATGTCTAAGTAGTGTCTATTAAAAATTTATAATTAAATACATGGACACATATATATTGTATTCTTCTATTAATTAACCCGTCTTTCCAATTCATTTTTGCGATACCACTTTCATCTTCTTTCGACACTGTTTTCATCTTTTTCAGCCAACAATTTCTTGATTCTCTCTACCAACAATTTCTTGATATATATACATGTATTTTCTCTCTTGATCTTTCTCTCCAAATCTCTTGACTTTCCGCTCTAGATCTCAACAATTTAGGAGATCTGGTGAGATTCCTAAAGAAACATGGTTAAAGGTGAGGAATCTTGCTCAATCCAATCTTCTATCAAACAAATTTTTTGAATTGATGTCTAAACATTTTGGAGAACTCGGATCTATCTTCGATACTCTCAATCTCTCTTTTAACTATTTATGCAATCACACACTATTTATAAATATATATGTCTAAAATAATAAATAACACATGGTTTCATACATAATAATAAATACATGTATATGTAATAAAATGTAAAGTTATATATTTTCTTAACACGTTAACTTATATTTTTTTCATGTAATATATCTAAAGGTTTAAAATAATCAATATATGTCTATATTGTTAAATATAAAGTTATTTCTTTTATATGTAATTTTAACATATTAAATTATTTCTTTTATTAGGTAAACTATATCTATAAATTTATATATAGGTCTAAAATAATAAACGTATATATATATATATATATATTTTAAATGTCAAGTTATATTTTTTTTTAACATTTTAACTTATTTCTTATATCATGTTAATATAAATCTATATTTATAGTATTTTATTTAATTTGTTAATTTTATTAGATACTACATTAACTTTAGTATTAGTGTATAGATGTTTCATATAGATGTAGCCGTGTATAATATGATATAACATTAATTCTATAATGTAATTTAAATATAATATAATATATTATTATTTGAGGTGGTTTCCCATACTGTATATGACCAAACATATGATGTTAATTACGTATGAATATATAATAAATTAGATTGCTATATTCAGATATTTAAGTTTATTATCAACCAAAATAAAGTTAAAACAGTTCCATTTATTTAGTATCACATATATGTGTCCACAACACATTTATTTTCATTTAAAACAAATCATAACTAAGTGACAATTGGTGTAATTATACAAGATAACTTTGTTTTAAGCATTCTTTAGTCAATTCCTTCTAGCCTGTATTCAATTTGTTAATCTCTTAAATAAATCCCTAAACCTTGCCAACTACCTCTTTATCTCTAATTAAAATTTCTATAAGAACATCTCCATTTGGCTTTGTTAATAACATTGTCTTTTTTGAACTAGACTTAGCTTTGTTAACATTGTCGCGTGTATAAAAATAAAATCATATATATGAATAGGGAATAACTCTCTCCATCAGTTTGACACATCAGCATTTTAGATTAATTTAGAAGTGACAAGTGGTTAACTAAAATTAAAACAATCCAATAAATAATTATCATTAAATAAATTTCATTAGTTAGATATAAAACTGCTCAGCTCTTTTCTATCTCACATATCCCACGCGCTGAAAATATAAAGGTAGACAAGTTAGCACGGAGTACTCGAGACTACCTTTATAGATTAACTTATGTAAACTCATCCCCACCAGTTTGGATCTCCGAACCGTTGTAAGGATAAGGCTGTTGACAAAAAAAAAAAGATATAAAACTGTATTTTATGGAATATGAAACATCTATTTATTTATGATTTTAAATAATAAAACTAAATTGAATTTGAGCTAAAAATAATTTAAGATATAAAGAAACCAGAGAAAACTACTTCTTTTTATTGTAAAAAACGAAAAGGATTTCTCAAAATAATTTTTAGCAAAAAATAAAAAAAAAATTGATAATGCTCGTGAAACTTTGATGATGAATGAACCATTTACATAACAAACAGATATTTATTTAAAAAATAGATATAGTTATAATTTGACGATAAAAGAATATTAAAAAAAAAAAGAAAATAAACTATTATTTGCGTGATGTGTGTAATAGTCCTATTTGATGGTATTTTAAAAGTTAAATAAAAAAGTAATAATTATTAAAATAGAATCATAATTATGTTTGATAGATCTCTCCAAAAATAGTATATAGTGTTATAAATTAATTGATACCATACACTAAAATATAAAAATATAGCTTTATACAACTATATATATATGATATAAAAAACTCAATCATTATATTTGTGAAATAATATTGTTCGTAAGAAAATTACAGATTTTTTACGGGGATGTGTATGTTCGTCCGAGTAGTACAAGTGAGCCTCTTAGATTAGGTTTCGAGGATTGAGCGGTATATACTTCCTGGATGAGAAATTTTTTGGGTCCTGCAAACATTCACAGTGGGTGAATCGGGCCTTTGGGAGACCGGAAATAGATTTCCCTCCCGAAAGTTCTTTGATGCACAATTTAGATTACGTCCCGCAGTGAACAGATAATCAAGAGGGCAGACGGATGGTGATTGCTTTATAGCTTTGATATCCCATCCAAGGATCGTGATACTCTTCTGTCATTTGGCAAAGGAAAATGTGAAATGTATGAATCATTGAGAGAGTGGAGGTGGAGCTCTCTCTTAATAGGGATATAGTAAAGAGATAGAGAAGAAGTGAATGCTTATCTTAGTTGGCGCTCCTTTGGGAGAACGTTAGAGGATATTCAGACTCTCGCCTCCGAGGAATGTTTGGGAGATCTTCGGCCGTTCTTCTCAACTTTAACCTCTTCTTCTTTCCTTATACATATTTTCCTTTGATTTGTCCCATCCGAGAGACGCTTAGAGAGAGTAGATATGCTCACACTCATTGGGAAGTCTGCCATATACCAAGGAACATTTAGATAGGGAGTGGTTAGACAAGCCTAGGCACCAAGTTCATCATTTTGGTCGAGCCTATTATCGGTGTATCTTTCACCTATTGGATACAGTAAAAATGAATTCAACAAATATATTATATTTAAAAAGTTTTATAAGTATGAAATTCATATAGATATATTTTATTTTTAAAATAAAATACATTTTATTTAAAAAAACCCGCATATAGCTACACTATTTTGGATTAAGAAAAGAAAGTAGTATTCTTTTTTTGGTAAAAAAGAAAGTAGAAGTTAGTTGTAAATAGTTAATTATAATCCTTTTTCATTAAGAGAAGTTCGATTCTGAGAATATATAATTTCTGCAAATTAATAAAGCCATTCTTATTAGGAAATCTCCAACGTGGTGTAAGCCGAACTGTTCGTCGTGCATCTGTATATTGGATCTTTGTGTTATGTTAAAAATTATTCTAATTATACTCATAATTTATAGTCAGATATATATATATATATATATATATATATATTTAAAATTTCTATAATATCATTTGTTGTTTTGTAGGTCTCCAATAGCTACAATGGGTTAAGATGAATTTTGGTACATGCTAATGCATGGAACTGTAGGATCAGTGAAAGGAGTACTATTCTCAAACATTCAGCTTACGGAAACACAAGTTCTGATAATGATTGATCATTTCTACTGAACCCGGCATCAAAATCAAAAACAAACAAAAAAACAAATCTCTGCCTCATTGCTTTGTTGAAGAAATTTTTTAGCAGTACATATAGTTATTGTTTGTATCAGAAATTTAGTTTGATTGTTTTCACATTTCACCTTAATATGATATATGGTCCAGAAACAAATTGTAAACCTCAAAAATCTTGAAAAATTTAAGCAATAAACTTGATATATCGTTTTGTTAACTATAACAGCGCATTTCTAAAAAAAACGAACATAAAACAGCACATTTTTCATCCACAAGATTTGAGCTTCAGCTCTGAGATTCGAAAAAAAATACCGAAATTAGCGGGAGAATTACTGAGGGCTTAATTTCCGCTTCTTGTTCATCTCTATGATATTTGACACGGTCTTCTCTAAGGACAACACTTTAGCAGCATAAGTAGCAGATTTTTCCTTCTCCTCGATCAGTTCAGCTTTGAGATTCTTGACTTGTTCGTCGAGTTTAGCAGCAGAGGTAGCAGATTTTACTTTCTCCTTGATCAGTTCAGCTTTGAGATTCTTGACTTGTTCCTCGAGTTCTTGGACTCTAATACCATCAACACTTGCTTTCTTCCTCTCCAAGGAAACCTCATCAAGCTTTGTCTCCAACCAGTCTAGCTTGAAGCCCGCTTCTGTTAGCTCGATCAACTCGCTGCGAACGTTGCTTAGCTCAGTCTCAGATAAGCTATGTGGTGGCTTGTTCACTGTCTCGATGAGATCGACGAAGATATTCATGTATGTTGTCTTCAACCGTTGGTTCTTTGGTTTGAAATTTGCTGCAATGTCTGGGTGCTTCAAGAAAAGCGTAGACACTGAAATAACCTGTCGATACGAGAAATATGTAATTATGTTAACCAGAAAAAGAATAAAGAAGACAACAAAAAGCATCCTTGCAATCATACCTGAGAATAAAGAACTTGGAACCCTTCCACATCAAAGGTCTCGTCCCGGTTACTTCTGATTCATCAACAACTTCAACTACTTTTACTTCCACTTTTAGAATCAGTTTGTTATTCTCCATAAATCCTTTTTTCTTGAAGCTTTTATAGAGGCACAGCTCATGTTTTGCCCCATGCTGAGAACTGGGCGCAGAACAATTGGCACGATTCTGCAAGACAAAAACAGAAAGATTAAGTTAAATTTTCTCAAATACACACAGTTTACGTCTGGCAAGTTAAATTAATTACCAGGTTGTCTGAAGAGCTCTTTGCCAGATTGATTCAACAGAAGGAAGGAATAAGAAGCTCTTCTTTTCCATCCAAGTCGCAATGATTCACGATTCGCAACATGGAGGTACAGAGACAAGTGATCTTCAATACCGTTTCCTTTAGGATAAACCCGAAGAAACCTGAAAAACAAAATAGAAACAAACTTATTTAAGATAGTTGTACATCAAATAATATCGAGCTTAACGCACGTATACAATAATCTTTACCATTCGCAGCCACCGATTAAGAATTTAGGAGATACTATTATCAGATCTTCCTTCACTGAGAAGTTATCTATCTCAAACGTAAAACTGGTGGGCTTGTGATCCTCCATCCTCTATCTATTAATTGACAATGTAGTTTAATGAAATATGATGATTTGTTTTAATTTTATTGGTTAAAAACATCAATCTAACCTAATTAAATGTGACATAGAAATGATGATGTGTAATGATGATATAATTGTGACATGGCATTTGCTAACACATGTGGATTATGACATGGCAAAAAAATTTTATGTGTTTAATTTATTTTAGTTCAAATAATTATTTTATGAAAACTGAAAAATAGAAAATATTTAATTATTAATATAAATTGTAAACCGTCATTTTTTATCACATGCACAAAACATATGTTATATTTTTTTATTACATGCACAGATTTGTACAAGTTAAATTGTATAAAAATTATATCTTCATCACATGCACCGACTATATAATCTAAAATAACATTAATCTAACAATTAATGTTTAACTAAAGAACTCATTTTTGTTGTCCACACCAAACAGAAGCTAAACAAAATACAAAGAGAAGTTGGAATATATTTAAATTCAAATAATTTTCTGTGTTTAATTTATTTTAGTTCAAATATTTATTTTATACAAAGAAGTCTTAGAGAATTTAGAGGCTAAATAACTGAATAAATTGAAGAAGATTAATTGAAGACGAAGTAGATGATGAAATTTGCAGCTATATATGTCTGGCCCGCAAATCCGCAGCAGGTAATCCGCTCAACCAGCTATCCACAGGTCTAACCTATTTGGCCTTTTAACATAATAAAATAAGCATTTTGTTATAATAAAATGTTTAGTTAAAATTATACCATATTTTGCTATTAAGGCCTATAATTTAATCATTCTACCTAATTTTTTATATATTACAAAAAATAAGAATATTTATAACAATTTAGATATTATATTTATGTAATTAATTTTTTAAAACTGTTTATGCTTGCACATGCGTGCAGACCAAACTCCTAGTTTGTCTACAAAACAAAACAAAAAAAAAATGATTTTCTTTTCTTAGGTTTTTTAACTTTAAATTCTGACTGTTCTAAAAAAAAAAAACTTTACTTCTGACTAAATAGCGACTTTCAAACAACATGTCACTTCAATCGTGAACACTCATCAATTTCCAGAAAAATGTCAATGTTTTTAACGATTATATAATTGAAAACTCACTAATCTGACAAACAAAACCCATCTCCCAACTATGTCTAATCAGTCGTAGAGCAATGAATTAATCAGTTCCCACTTCCCAAAAGAAACATATGAGCAAAGCTAAATCAAGGCACAAATTGATTTAACTTTATTCTACAACGATTAGCAAAACTCACGACAAAGAATATATATAAACATAGATCGAAGTTCAAAAAAAAAAAAAAAAATAACAAAAGAAAAGAGCATATAATTTCTGACCCCGAAGCAGAATTAAGATCGTAAATAAGAACACATGAGCGAAACCCAAAACAAACAACTCACCACGTAGCTCCTAGATTTCTTCAAAGAGAGTACTGACGAATCGAAGCAGTAAGGCAAAAATTGATGGCAAGGAGGAGTAGAGGGAAAAAATAATTAGGGTTTTGGTCGGCCTTGAGTAATATGAAAGCCACTAAGAAAAAAAAAATTTATAGCCTAATTATCTGAATTATTTACGCTTAGATGCATTTTTTGAGTTATCAATTACAAAGAATTAGGTGATCTGTTCGCACCGTATGCGGACTATAAAACATGTTATTTATTATAAAAAAAATTAAAAATTGATAATTATTTTATTTATATGATTAAGTATGTATTAATAATATTATTTAATATTTAATAGTAAAAATTAATAATATCTGAAATAGAAAATGTAGTGGCTCGTAATAGAAAATTCTAAATAATAAAAATATTAGAATATAAAATGGTCCCTTACAAAAAAAATGTAAATATAATAAGTAAATAAACAGAAACTATTAAAACATATAAATAAAGTTTAAAAATATGAAAAGGAAAAGTTAAGAAAGATTTTGAAACACTTCCTTATAGACGACATTTGTAGTTTTTTTTTTCACTTTTTCTTCTTTGTCTGTTATGAGAACTTTGCGTCCTGATCTCGACTTAACTCTAGATAATGCAACATATAGTTGTCCATAAGAGAAAACTGGCCTAGGTAGAAACAAACCGACATTCTCAAGTGATTGTCCCTGGCTTTTGTTGATAGTCATTGCAAAAGCTAAAGCCAAACGGAACTGTCAACGACGCATTCTGAAAGGAAACCTTGTATCTGGTGGTGTCACATACATCCTAGGGATTAGAACTACTTGACCAATCATTTTCTCATTTCCCATTATAATTCTACCTTGAACCACATGTCTAGCCATTTGAGTAATAATAAGTCTAGTTTCATTACATATTCCACCCTTAGGATCTATGTTACGAAGACACATGACAGGAGCACCAACCTTTAATTTCAAGCAATGCTTCAGTAATCCAGAAACTTTGATGGTGTTCAAAAACTCAGTTGGGTAGTCCACCTTATGCAATGATTCTTTATCTGAAAGAATAATGTTGTCAGAGGTAAGGTATACTTTTTCATCACCTGAGATATTTAAATAATAAGAAGATCAGTTGTGAACATACCCTTATTCAATGTATCATTATCTGAAGGAATAATGATGTCAGAGCTAAGATATACTTTCTCATCACCTGAGAAATTTAATAGTAAGAAAATCAGTTGTGAACATACCAAGAAACCCGTAAAAACAATTTGAAAAATATATAAATGTCTGGAATTCTAACATGTTTATTATGACTATACTAATATTATATGAACATTATTATTTTAATTAGAGTTGAGAACATAATTTCATATTTTTTAAACCAAACAAGTTTCATAACAAACAAAATGGTATTACAACTTAACTAAACTTAACGTTTAAAACATTTTATTCTTTGTAAATTATGAATGTAGTATATTATATAGTAGGTATATTTATGAAAATAATCCAAAGAAAGATATTTAAATGATAAGATATTCGATATTTATTCTACTAAACCTAAACCTATTGTGAAATGGATATTCTATAAAATTTTGTAATTATAAATGCAACTTTGGTAATTAAAAAACAATGTGAATCCAAATAACAAAAAAATTAAAATAGAAATGAAGGTGAAAATAGTTTAAAAATATTACCTGGTAATTTCGAAAGCATGTAGTCATTAATCTGATCGACATCATCATTTGTAGGGCTAAGGATCGCCCTAGACTTGTAAAAATTCAGATCAGAAGACTTTGTTGAAGAATCTCCATAAACCTCGCGAACAGTAGTTTCAATGGGATCTCCACATTCAGTTATTAACAAATCTTCGGGAATACCAATATCAACCAAGCCGTCGTTTTGTAGGTTAATCATTCCATCACCAATATCTAAAATCCATTCAGAAAAAGCTTTAAGATCTGCAGCATCGTGATCACTAAGCCCAGCAAGTAATCTCATATTCTTTGTAAGCATCAAAACCTTGCAATGCTCCCAAAGGTATGATGCATTTAGAGGTGCCAAAACGGTTTCCGCTCTGCTACTCCCAATGATAACAGGCAGAATCTGTCTAAAATCACCACCAAACACAACTATTTTGCCTCCAAATGGCTTATCCTCTTTTGATCTGATAATATCTCGTTTAGTTGCACTTTTTGAGTTATCAATTACAAAGAATGCACTTTTTACAATTTAGACATTTTTTTTATCTTTCTTCTTATTTATTTCATTTGAAACTCAAAAAATGTCTCTGAGCGTAATATAAAATTTAAAAAGTGTCTTTGAGCATAAATAATTTTAATTATCTACTGACTTTAAAAAAGGAGAAAAGTTTTTTGTTTTGTTTTACCATATCGAAGAAGGAGTTGCAGTCAATGGTGACAATTTCCAATTATTTGGGGTCTTTTTCTGATTGACAAATGTCAATTGTGACAATTTTCAACCTAATACTTCAAATTTGCAACTTTTTAAACACAATAATTTGAATTAAAGCAAATAGAATAAAAATATTTAAACCTCGAAAAATTTGAAAACGGTGGAAGATTTAAGTAATAAAGCTTTACAATTTTTTCTAAACGTTCTTTGTCTAAGGAACCACCCGGTGTATTCTAGAATTAGCTAATTAAACTAAATAAATATATATATTTTGCAAATTCAATTTCTATCCTCACAATTACATAAATGTACATCTATTTGTGTCAAAACAAAACCAATGTTTTGCCAGGCTATTTTACAATATAATAGTGGACATCAGTTAAGAAGCTAGATAAATTTTCTTAGTCTCAAATTTGTTCAAAACTTTTGCTAAATTACTGTTTTTGCGTAACTTGGTATGTTGTTGCACTTTTTCTTGGAGTAATCTGAATGTGGATGGTGCAACAAAGGCCCGATCTAGGGATAGGCGTAAGATCGTTCTTCGTTATTTATCATCTTCTTTCCAATAGTCTTTCGTTGCCATCGATCTAGAAAAGATGGTCTGGAGACGATGAAGAATAGACAGATATGATAATGGACACTAGATTTTGGATCTGCGCACCTTGCACAGGTTTTTTTCATAAATTTTTTTAAGCTACAGCAAAAATCGGCTTATGTTATCAAATCTAAAATAATGGTTCAAATGAAAATTGATTTGATTTAGCTAAGAGTTTGTCTACTTTTTTTAGACAATAAAATGAATCGTTTTTTTGTCTGAAATTGAGAAAGTTTCCTCTCAAACTAATCCCTAACATTTCAATTCAGTCACCAAAATTTTGTCTAGACTTCAGATTCGTGCTACGCATGGAGTTTTTTTTTTTTAAATTTGCTCCATTCGAAAGAAATTTTTTGTGTTAATACAACAACTCATTCAATTTGTGTAGGAGAAATTTTTATTTTTTTCCTAAATTTTATATTTAAATTCTAATCCATTTGTATTAGTTTAAATTCTTATTTTGTTTTATTTCATTTTATTTATGAGGACCAAAAGAATCGAATATTTTTTGTATATAGATTCGCATAGATTATAACCTAAATGTGATAATTTATTGTTCATTCATCATTTATTTTATTTTTTTTAATGCAGATTTTCTTTCTATTTTATTTGTAGGTATTTACTATTTATAGTTTAATTTCTAACATATTAAACTGTCAACCGTTAATAAAAAAATTGTTTGATAGTTTTGAATTGCTTATCATTTATAATTTTTTTTATCTTTATCTTGTTTGAGTCGTTTGTCATCAGCCATGGATGATAAGTATAAACTTACTGTTTTTGGAATTGCTGTGCATTGTATTGTTATTATATTATTATCATTTTAATATTTTCTATTTTATGAAAAATGTATTTGAGTAAGGTTTGAGATGTATTGATGATTTTAACTTTTTAAGTCTAGATTCCAACCCGCATGTAGTCATTTTTTTGTAAGGAAAACTATATTTATATAAGGTTTGAGATGTGTTGATAATTTTTAAGTTTAGATTCTAACTCACCTGTAATAATTTTTTATATGGAAAAATATATTTGCATACAGTTTAAAATGTGTTAATAATTTAAAGTCATGATTCTAACCCGCCAATGATAAATCTTGTTTTTAATTAGAAAAAAATATTTGTGTAAAATTTGAGATGTATTGATAATTTTAAATTTTGATTTTATTCCGTCTCTTTTTTGGTTGTATATTTCCGTAAAATCAAAAGATAGAGAAATCAATTCCTCACTTGAGAAACCAATTACAATCTGACCCAGAAAAAATCTAACCCGTAAATAAAAATCGAATGAGAAACCAATTCCAATTTTTTTTGGTCGTATATTTCCGTAAAGTCAAAATATGGAGAAATAAATAAAAGTTGAACAATGACTATCCAAAAGCATATTTATAAGATACTATTAAGTTTGGTTGATATTTATTGTTTTTTTTCTAAATAGTTGGTATATTTCCTAAATTTCTAATTATGAGCCAAATAGTAGATTAATTCTAATTTTGTATTTTTAAAATAAAAATTTGTTTTTCTAATTATATGGAAAATGATCTGCCCATAAATAAAAAATAAGTTAAATTAACAATGTTTGAAAACACATGTGGAAATTAAATTTAGGGTTTGAAGGAGTAGAAATAAGATGGACTAATTTTCTGAGAATTGATGGGCCGATAATTATTCTATTGAACATTTATTGAAAATAATAGCTATCTATATATTTTTATAATGTAAAGGGTTATATCTATAAATTAAAAATAAGAGACTAAACCCGCAAAAATCGAATGAGAAACCAATTTTAATTTGACCAAGAAAAAATCTGACCCATAAATGTGATCTGTAAAACCTGATCTCATGCTCTTTCTTTTTCACAATTCACGAGCTATTCCCCAGAATGAACTCTAAACTCTTGTTTTTTCTCAATTATGTTAGTATTGTTTAAATCAAAGTTGTTAATTTAAATTCCACTTAACAATACAACCTCACGAAAAAAACCTGAAGTAGATCTACATTCATAAATTCTGTGTTTTTGTCTATATCCTGAAATTTTTGCTAATGTTCTTAAGATTTCTAACAATAGTTTTGCAAAATTTATTTAAATCTCAGATTTCTGTAAAATGTATTTATCTGAAATATTCTCTTCAATAAAAATTTCATGCATTTTGTTTTTCATTTATTTTTGTAAGTTAAAATAAAAAATCTCACTTTTAAAAAATTTTAAATGGCTTGAAACTTTTACTAATCATCTGAAAATTCATAATAATAATTTTGCAAAATTTACTCAAATCTCAGTTTTCTTAAAAACATTTTTGTCTGAATTTAGTGTAATATTTTTTGGTTAATAGATTAAACCAACTAATCATATGTGTGGTAGTGCATTAGAGTTATAATGGTCTTTCATATTATGGTAAAAATGATAAGACAAAAATACCCTTAATAGAATTATAACATTGTCTAGTAAATACAATGGCATATATTATAAATAATATGGTAGATATTGAACATTTATTAAGAATGATTCTCTTTTAATAGTTTAGATTAGTTAAGAAGGTGGATAAATTTGGTTAGCAATTTTTTAGTTGCTTGTGGCTTAAGTTAGCACTCAAGTCTAAATTTTTTTCAAAGTTTTGTTAATCCTAACTATTATTTGACAAACACTTTTATTGAAAAATACTGATGTGTACAAATTAATGTTGACCTGAAATAATGACCTGGAAATGTGACCTGCCATTTTTGATCTAAGAAAAGAAAATTGTTCATCGCTTAGAATTAGAAAACAAAACCAAGACTTCTTCCGACTCCAAAGGGATATTCATCCGATGATTCCAATCCGATGTACCTCTTACGATTTGGTCTCCAGAAACGATGACTCCCTCCGGAGCTTACCGATCTACATCGGAGGCACTTCTCTCCTGGCCATTCTCTCGCGCTGTTTCCGGTATCGCTCCCGTCGCCAATGATACCAGGTAATTTGATCGGAAGTATACGGAAGACTGAGATTAGTTCGGTTTATATGATTTTTGAGCTGCTCCCAAATTGAGCTCTCTCATTGATTTCTGGTTAATTTTTAGCCATGCGACTTCCTGCATTTGTACAAAATTAAGTAAAGTTCTGATTTCTCTCTGTCCTTTGCAAGTCTTGATGATTCTAGCACTGCTTGAGAAATATATAGGGACTTTTAGCTGCATCATTTCTATCAATTATCCTACTAATTTTTGTAATGTAATGTAACAATAATACATGGGATCTCACATTTCCTGCATGATAAAAGAGGCAAAAATCATTGCTTCAACATTGGGGATACTTTGTTTAGACGGGTGACTCTTCAAGACTCTACGCATAGATTGACAATGAGACTTTGGTTTGAGTGTGTGTGTTGTTTTAGTTATGCTAAGTATGAAATTGTTAAACATGAGATCCATAAACAGATTCTCTTCTCCTTCAAATGCAGGGTTGAGGAAGCTGAGGCACAATGTGCTCTGTTAAACTCGGAATCTTTATGTGTAAGAAACACTTTTTCATAGTTAGTTTCTTGTTCGTCATGTTTTTTAACTTAATAGTCAATAATGAATTGTGGTTTTCGTGATCATTGACATGACGCATGTTTTAGCTCTGATTCAGATATTTTTCTTTTTGGCGCAAAGACTGTCTACAGAGAGATATTCCTTGGTGAGTGAAGAGAGACTCTTTAGCAGTCTTGGTGTTTCTTTTATCGTCTGATATCGTTAGTAGTATTAAATATTGCCTAATAATCTACCAATGAACTAGGCGAAGGAGGTCACGTTGTTTGCTATGAGATGGAAGACATCAAGAAAAAGCTTGGTCTTGGACGGAACTCATTGGTAACTTAACGAGTCTCTTTTACATACTTAACCCTGTACTTTCAATTTCACGAAGCTGCACAGTGTTATTATAAAAAATTTTGATCGGCAAAAGTGTGATTGATGAATGCATACTTGCAAAAGTTTGTCTTTCGCTTTTTAACCGATGTGAAAGTAGCTTACTTCAAGACAATGACTTTTGTATTTTACACATTACAAAATTTTTGTTGCTGTTATGGTTGTATGATTTGATATTCTATCTTTTCGCTGCACCCGGTTTAAAGCATAGTTTACGTATTTAACAAGGTAATAAAACATCATTATATATTCCGCACGCATGTAGCCTATCAGCCTAAATACGCTGCACCCGGTTTAAAGCATAGTTTACGTATTTGACAAAATAGTTAGGATTACCAAACTGCAATTAATTGATAACCAAACTGCAATAAACCAATATGGATACAAAATTAATCTAGATTACCAAACCGCAATAGTTAGGATATGTTAGTAATATACATTTCGTGCTAAATATAGAAAATTAATATGGATATGAAATTGCTTTTATACCAAATTTTTATAAATATTTTACAGTCAATATTTCATTTAGTGATATAGATTTGGTGCTAAATATAAAAAACTAATAAACCAAAATCAAACTATAAAGAAATTAGTAATTAGATTCGTACAATGTAAGTTGGATACGAAATTGCATTTATATCTACCAAAAAAAAAATTGGTAGTAAAATATATCTCATGCAAACAAAATGTCTATCAATTTATTAGCAAAATCAATGACCGTAAATAACAATACATCGGCCAATCAATAACCAAATTAGTAATTAGATTCGTATAATGTAAATTGGATACGAAATTGCATTTTATATCTATCAAATATTTATTTTGGTAATAAAATATATCTCATGCAAACTATTTGTTTATCAATTTATTAGCAGAACCAATTACCATAAATAACAATACACTGGCCGATCAATTATTACATAAAATATATATTTCTTTACTTTTTGGGAATATAAGATATCTCATCATTTATTAACATTATAAGTCATTATATATTGCTAATTAAAAAAATCAATACACATGCCGATCAAATACATTTTCAAACACCTACCATTGTTATGCAATGTCTATCGTTAAAAGTAAAACATCTCATTTCATCATGCTAAACAATCTCGATCCAGCATCTGAAGTGCAAAAGATCAAAGCACATATCAAGTTTTATGGAATTCTTTTATAACTGGTGTTGGTAAATCAATTGAAATGGTCCTTGTCGATGAAGAGGTTTTTATTTATTTATATTTTTCTGTTATTAAATTTTATTTCTCTATTATTAAGTTTTACTTTTAGTTCTCAAAAGTACTACTTTAACTGTCTGATGGTTGCAATCTTTTCGGGAAACAAGGATTCATGCAACTGTAGAAAAAAAATTGATAGAAAAACATCGAAATATTTTGAAAGAAGGTGAAGATATTAGCATCAATGCTTTTATGCTAAAAAAATATTGTGGAGAGTACAGAACCTCCCCCTTGCCAATTAAGTTGGTATTTATTTAGACAAGTAAGACCAAACCAGCTGTAGGATTTCCGCCAGAATTACCAGAACAATATTTCACTGATTTCTCTGAAATTTTGGATGGAAAGCTCAACAAAAAACATTTTGAACACTATTTATTTTTAAATTGTTATGTTCGATATATTTCAGAGGTTACCGTATCTTTATAATTATTCACTCTTTACATTTATTTATTAAAGTAGATGTCATTGGACAAGTATTGAACGTGGGTCCAAAAGATAATGTTCTAATAAGAGGAAAGAGTGGGTCAAATACAAAATTGGAATTCATCTTTAAAGATGCCAAGTAAGTGTAAATCTTACTATTTTCAATGATATATGTTCCAATAAAATTCTGTCAAAATTGAAAATCATTAACAAATCTATTTCAAGTGAATAACACCATTGATCACCAATAAAATGTGTTATTAGGTTTGTGATGATCAAAACATACAAAGGTATATTTCTATTTATATTAATTTACTATTCACTTTTTCATTATATGAATTTAAAACAATATAGAATTACCTTCTTAAAGAGGTAACTATTTTTTGGTTTTATTTCTTAATATGTAGGAAACATATTTGTGTTGTTCAGTATAATCACAAGTGAATAGTAAATTAATATAAAGATGTGTTTCAAAATCTACGATGAGCCGAGACGGTAAAATTAAGTGTTCCAAAAAAGGAAAAATGCAAAACAAAACTATGAACATCGTCTATAAAGAAATGTTTCAAAAAAATTCTTAATTTTATGCTTTTGATATTTTGGAAACTCTATTTATATGTTTTAATAGTTTCAGTTTGTTTAGTTATTATATTTACCATTTTTATTCTAAAGAACCATTTTATATTCTTGATTAATATTTTTTATCAAGAATTTTTTATTACGATCTATAACATTTTTTATTTCAGTTATTATTAATTTTATTATTAAATGTTCATACAATATCCATAATTAATATATAATTAATTATATAAATAGAGCATTTTTCAATATACAATATTAATTATATATTTAACATATAAAATGTTTTATAGCTCGTACATGGTGCAGACCGATCACCTAGTTTGTTGTTGTATAGGTAACTTGGTATATGTTATGATTCCTTCAACCAATATAGACCATGATTGGAATTTGGAAAGGTTTGTATTTAACTCGTGAAACTTTTTAGACAATATCTAATTAATGATACAATTTGATGCACGTTTTCTTAGAGTGATCAAAGGCCCGATCTAGGGATAGTCGGAAGAAAATTCAGAGGAAACCAAGTAAGTGCAAGTGACTATGAAGGCTTCTTTATCGTCAAGCTTATCTCGATCTTATAGCAACAATAAAGCTTGGAACTTTAGTTTGCATATTTCATGTTAAGGCCTCTTTAATATAAGGAAATACATCTAAAATCTGGCTGCAATGCTATAAATGTAGTACCTTGTCTACGCCCAATTAAGGTGCGACGTCTGTTGGTAATTGTAGATTTTGCTTTGATTCTTGACCCAAATGGTTAGTAGGTGCAAGTTTCTAGTGACAAAATGCAGAGTAAATTTTTGAACTCTCAAAAGTAATTATATTATTATCCTCCCACATGAGTATTTGATTGTCCAATACTCTTATGTTTTTGACAATTTTTTGACTAAAAACAGTTGATTGATTCTTTCGTAAAATAGTTTAACTTGAGAATGAAATTAAAAATATTTATTAAACTGAGTATGACATCAGAATTTGAACGAATTTGATAGATAATCCAATTACAGTAACGTAGGACCAAATTCAGTCGACCATAAAACTCAAAATTTCTTGATTTGTAAAAGAAACCAAAAAACATAGTAATAAAATGTCTTTCATTCTACTTTTCAATTACTGAGATCCGCGTAATCCAATACTTCCCAAGAGTGAACAACACTCTCGAGCTCGTCGTCTTTATGAGTGGTAGATTTGGTTTTCTCCTTGCTCAGCTCAGCTCTTAGATCCGACACCATCTGCTCCAACGACAAAACTTTAGCAGCAGACTTCTCCAGTTCAAGGTTGAGATTCTTGACTTGTTACTCGAGTTCTTGGACTCGAGAACCATCATCATTTGCTTTCTTCCTCTCCAAGGAAACCTCATCAAGCTTTGTCTTCAACCAGTCTAGCTTGAAGCCCGCTTCTGTTAGCTCGATCAACTCGCTGCGAGCATTTCTTAGCTCAGTCACGGATAAGCTATGTGGAGGCTTGTTCAGTTTCTCAATGAGACCGAGGAGGATATTTATGTATGGTCTCTTCACCTGTTGGTTCGTTGGTTTGAAATTTGCTAAAATGTCCGGATGCCTCGTGAAAAGGCTAGTCAACCTGTTAACCAGAAAAGGGAGTCAAAAAGAATAAAAAAGACAACAAGAAGCATCCTTAAAATTAAACATACCTGAGAATAAAGAACTTGGAAACCACTGACATCGAAGGTCTCATTCCCAGTTACTTCTGATTCATCAACAACTTCAACTACTTTAACTTCCACTTTTAAAATCAGTTTGTTCTTCTCCACAAACCATTTTTCTTGAAGCTCTTTAATAGGCACGGCCTTTGCCCAACCGCAACCTGGGAACTGAGCGCAGAACAATAATCCTGTAAGAAAGAACAGATAGATTAATTTATATTTTCTTGCTCGACAATCGGATATATACAGTTTACATCTGATAAATCTTTTCTGTAGAGCTCTTTGCCTGTTTGGTTCAAGACAAAAACAGAAAGGTGAAGTTAAAATTTCTTTCTCGACAATCAAATATACAGTTTACGTCTGACAAGTTGAATTACCATGTTTTCTGAAGATGCCAGATTGATCCAACAGAAGGAAGGAAAAATTAGCTCTTCTTTTCCATCCAAGTCGCAATGATTCAGAATTCGCAATGCAGAGGTACAGAGACAAGTGATCTTCAATATTGTTTCCTTTGGGATAAACCTCAAGATACCTGAAAAAAGAAAAGAAAAAGATTAACTAAACGCTATGTAGTTGATAAACATAATAACAGAGACCTAGACGATGAAAATCAGAACACAATATATAAGTTTTGCATTTACCATTCGCAGCCGCCGCTTAAGAATGTCGGAGATCGTATCAAACCTTTCTTCTCAGAGAAGTTATCTATTTCAAACGTGAAACTCGTCTGCATTTTATCCTCCACCTCTCTCCAAAAAAGGGCTTTTCAAGCAAAATGCTACTTTCTAAAAAACTTGTCTATTAAATTGTAAACAAGCATCAATTGCCAGAAACAGACAATGTTTCACAAAATGTTACTGAAAACTCACAAATCTGACAAACAAATCTATTCTAGTCTAATCAGCATACTGGTATCAGCTTCCAAAGGAAAAAAAAACATATGAGCAAAAGCTTAATTGACAATAAAGAAATAAAGAGGAGAGTTTATTTTTATCTTAGGACTGGAAAGAACATTTGATTCACAATATATTCGTCAAACTACCAGTCCTCCAAACCCTTATTCTCGTAAGTCATAATCAGAATTGGTTTAATCATCACAGTAATTGATTTAAGCTTCAGTCTACAAAGCTTATCAAAACTCACAACACATAACATTCACATAGATCGAAGTAAAACAAAAAGCAAAAATAATAAAAGGAATTAATAAGAACGCGGATGAAAACAAAATCAATATAATTTTAGAAATAACAATAAGAATTTATGCGAGAGAGAAACGCAAAACCGAACAACTCACCAATTATATAGTTCCTAGAGTTCTTCAAAGAATCTGACAAATCGAAGCTGCTGAATCCACCACGAATTTCCAAAGTGTAATAGACCGCAAGAAGAGTTGAGAGAAAAATATTTAGGGTTTAGGTTACTGGGTGAATTGCAAGAATCATATATATAATTAGCTAGTTCTCTGTTTATCTAGTGTGTCCACCACTAGGCATGTCAAATGGGCTGGTTAGGCCCGGCCCGGCTCGAAACCCATAAAGCCCGCATATATTTAAGCTTGGCCCAGCCCGATAATATATCAGGCCTATATTTTGAAGTCCGGCCCGGCTTTAGTAGGATTATCGAGTTTTTTTGGGTTTTTTTCGGGCTTTTTAGAAAAATAAAATAGATTTTAAAGATAATCTAAATAGAGTTTTATCAAATTTGAAAGCAAAACTTTAATTTATAAATTTATATAAATTCTAATATCAAATATAATTAAATAAATAATGCAAATAGTAGAAACGGTAGAATCAGGATGAAGGTAGAACTGCTTCTTGAAACTAGTTTAGTTTGAGCATGAATGTTATATAAAGGTACACAACTAAAAATTAAGATTTTGATTAATAAAGAGTATTATTAAAAAATCAATAACTCTTTTTTAAAAAAATTATAAAGATAATTTATTAATAACAATTTCTAAATTAAATTATAATATAAAATACAGGGCTTTTTGGGTAAGTCCGAGACCGATCGGGCATAAGCCCAAATGAACTTAGCCTGAATGGGTTTAGCCGAAATGGGCTTAGCTCGAATGGGTTTAGCCCAAAAAGTCCGATTTTTTTAGGGCTTTTATGCCAAAGTCCAAACCCGGTACTTTTCAGGACCGGACCGGGCCGGGCTTCGGACTTTGGGCCAAATTGACATCCCTATCCACCACAGCAATTTTTAATTGTTAAAATAGACTTCTAAATATTTTGTGTTTTATTTTTAAGCTTTCATATTTTTGATATTCGGTTTTGAGATTTTAATATGATTAATTTAAAATTAAAATATATACTTATTTACAAGTCATAAAAATTATAAATTCTCTTATTTAAAAAAAAAGAGTTTAGAAAGCAAACACATACAAAAGATGATGGAAGAACTTATAGAAAATAATTATTAAATTTTTTTATAGAAAAAAAATCTTAAAAAGATTTATGTATAAAACTAAAGTAAAAGCATTCATATAAAACAATTGCTTATTTTACAAACCATAAAAACATAAATTCTCTATTAAAAAAAATCAAAACATTATTTTGAATATAAATAAATAGAATGTGAAAATGAGTTGGAAGGTGAACAATTACGAAAGATGACAAAAGAATTTGCGGAGATGGTTATCAAACTTTTTATAAAAAAAATCTCAGATATATTAGTATATAAAATAAAGTAAAATCGTTCATATCTACTTTACTGTGTAAAATCAATAAATATTTTTCATGAATACAGAAAATTATAATGCTTAATTATATGTATAGAAATAAGTTTGATTTATACGAAGGAGAAAAAAACGGTAAATACTTATCAACCATTTTTTTCAACGATGAAAATATAAATTTGATATTTGATGAGTTTATTCATCAGCCGGATTATATATAAATTTTAATATGAAGTGTATAAATAAACTAAAACATGATTATTGATTATATTTTTAACAGACTCAAATCGTTTACCTACACATGACAAAATTATTTTCACACACATTCACAAATATAGTCAGGTATTCATCAACGTCAAATGGATGAATACAACAAAATTACTTTTTTGAAAGAAGACAAATGCCTCCAATCAATTAAAATCTGTAGTTGATCAATTAAGCATAATTTTTTTATATAAAAATCTATCAAACCTATGTAATATATTAGCAGATTTCTTGCTCTGCCTCGCCAACTTTAACTATATTTTCCCTTATTTTGAGTTACAATCAATCACATAATTGAATAAAACGGAAGCTTGCATAAAATAAGAGAAAATATTAGTAGGTGTAATCAGAATAGTAGGACTTTGAGCAACTAGGAAAGGGAGAAAAAAAATGATTATTTGTATTTGAAAATAAGTTAGTTTTTTTTTAAAATCCAATAAAAAATTAAGGGAACATTTAGTTTAAAGTGGAGAGAGATCATAATGATTTTACTTTGTTGATTTGTGAAAATAAACTATAGAAAAAACAGAAATTAGTTAAATACAGATAAACAGTTAGGACATATATAATACTTATTGCAACATATAAATATACGAGAGATTTTTTAAAAAATTAATATATACATAACAAATATTAGAAAAAATATTTACAGTAAAAAAATAAAAACATTAAAAAACAAATATAATACATTATAATATAAATATATATAATAATATTATAAATTTAAAGAATTAAAAAATTTAGTTAATAATAAGTTCGCGAATGGACGGATCAAAATCTAGTAATACTATATGAAAACTCCAATATATTTATCTATTTTTTAAATGGAAAATTCTTTCTAAGATGAATTTGGTGTCTGACGAGATTGAGGCCCAGTAAGAAGTTTATAGCCATATGTTGAACGAAACATAGAAAGTAACTATTTTTTTTATAAAACTTCCTTCCGAGCGGGAAAATGAATTAATTCCTCCTTTACAACACCTCCACACATTTACTAACTTAACCATAGCAAATTATTAACCGTGAATTGAATGATATGTTAACCCTAATTTTCGTGGCTAATATGCATTCCCCTCTGTATTAAAAGAAGATGCCTATGTTAATATCCTGTGAATATTGTCTTTATCCAGTAGAATGAACCTATATCGATCATCTTAAACATAGCAATATGAGAGAGAGCACCACTATAAATGCAAGAGCTCCTTTCTTTCCACAGATAAAAAAATTGTTGCTTGAGTTACCACCTTTTTAAGCGTTACTTTAGGTTTCGAGGTAAGGAGCAGAGGACCAAGTTCCATATTTATCATATTTTTTCGTTATGGAATTTCTTCCAAATGGAAAGGTTTGACAATGGTCCTCTCAATAGTCTTGAGGAGTCTTTTGATATGTTTTGTCGAGGTTTTTCTTGGTACAGACCTTATCTAGATCATGTCATGTCGTACTAGAAAGCTTACCAAGAGAATCCAGATCAAGTTCTGTTCCTGAAGTACGAAACGATGAGAGCTGATCCTTTGCAGAATGTGAAGAGGTTGGCTGAGTTTATGGGTTTTGGATTCACAGCTGAGGAAGATGAGAAAGGGATTGTTGAGAGAGTTGTGGATCTTTGCAGTTTCGAGTAGTTGAAGAATCTTGAAGCCAACAAAGAAGAGAAAGACAGAGAGCGTTTATCAGGAAAGGAAATGTTGGAGATTGGCATAACTATCTAACTACGGAGATGGAAGAAAATTGGTAAATGAAGGATGTTTATATATATATATATATATATATATATATATATATATATTTGTATCCGATTTCATTCATTTTGAATAAATGCCTTTTTTATAAATTAATATTCATCTAGCAGAAAAATGATGTAACCACTATTCGGTAATTAACGACATGGAATCCCGAGTTACGAAGCGTGAGCTTTGACATCCACAAGATCTGACCTTTTGCTCTGAGATTACAGAAACTAAAAAAATACCTAAATAAGCGGGATAATTAATTAGGGCTTAATTTCCGCTTCTTGTTCAGATTTATGATATCCGACAAGGTCTTCTCTAAGGACAAAACCTTAGCTGCAGAAGTAGCAGATTTGACCTTCTCTTTGTTCAGTTCAGCTTTAAGATTCATGACTTGTTCCTCGAGTTCAGCAATTGATTTCTTCCTCCCCATGGAAACCTCATCAAGCTTTGTCTTCAACCAGTCTAGCTTGAAGCCTCCTTCTGTTAGATCGATCAGCTCGCTGCGAGCGTTGCTTAGCTCAGTCTCGGACAAGCTATGTGGAGGCTTTTCCAGTGTCTGGATGAGACCGAGGAGGAGATTCATGTATGTTGTCTTCACCAATTGGCTCTTTGGTTTTAAATTCACTGCAAAGCCCGGATGCTTCGCCAAAAGCCTAGTCACTGAAGCCACCTGACAACAAGAGATACACGTAAATCAACATCTTCAACTATGTCCAATCACATAAAAGAAAATCAAAAATAAAAGAGAAAAATACAACAATAAGCATCTCTTTCCAAGTTTACATACCTGAGAATAAAGAACTTGGAACCCTTGGACATCTAAGGTCTCATTCCCAGTTACTTCTGATTCATCAACAACTTCAACGACTTTTACTTCCAATTTAACTATCAGTTTGTTCTTCTCCAGAAACCCTTCTTCTTGAATCATTTTAAGAGGCACGGCCTTTGCGCTACCCCATGATGGGACCTGAGCGCAGAACAATGGGCACGATTCTGCAAGATAAAAACAGAAAGGTTAAGTTAAATTTTCTTTCTCGACAATCATATACACATACAGACACAGTTTACGTCTGACAAGTTAAATTACCGGTTGTTTTGTACAGATCTTTGCCTGGTTGATTCAAGAGAAGGAAGGAAAAAGTAGCTCTTCTTTTCCATCCAAGTCGCAATGATTGAGGATTCGCAACGCAGAGGTACAGAGCCAAGTGATCATCAAAACCAAGTTCTCCTTTGGGATAAACCTTAAGAAACCTGAAAAAAGAAAGGAAACAGATTAACTAAACGCTTTAGTTAATAAACATATGAACATAGACACGTTACTTATTGAACAAGGATGAATTAAAGAACTATATACATAAATATATAGTTTCTGCCTTTACCATTCGCAGCCACCGCTTAAAAATTTTGGTGATGATATCACAGATTCCTTCTCCGAGAAGTTATCTATCTCGAACATGTAACTCGTCTGCTTTTGATCTTCCATAACTCGTCTGTTTTGTTACTTCCAAACAAAAAAACCACTTTAACTTCTCAAAAACTTGCGGACTGAAATTAGGGTTCTCAGAACAAATTTTGGGGGAATATATAAGATGACGATATGCACATGACGAACCCATGGGCCTTTGCTTAATTAATATTTTCTTTTTTCTTTTTCTTTTTTATTAACTCAATCTTCTTATTTTCTAATTTTGATTTTCCGGAAAAACGAAAAAAAAATGAAAGACTTGATTTACTTTCGTTAGTTATGTACAAAAATAAGGAAAAATAGTAATATCCTTAGCAAACGTGAAAGGAGAAGATAAATATGTTCCTTTTCTTTTGCAACTAGATACTGATCCAGCAGAAATTATGACCACCAAATCCAGCTATAACAATGTTTTTTGACATTTACTCATAATAAAAATGCAAGTTTCTTCATGAACAAAAAGTTATACGAGCGATCCACATTTGTGATTTCGGTGCGAATCGACTTGGAGATTTCAAGTCCTTTACAATGTGTAGGATGATCCGTTGAAGCCTGATAGATTATCAAAATAATATTCTTTCTGTTTTTCTTTATAAGATGTTTTAGAATTTTTTTTTTTATAATTAGATGATGTTTTCAAAAATCAATGCAAAAAAATAATTTTTTTATTCTATATATTATTTTTCTATTGATTGAATTATTTTAGAATTGATGTTTTATTTTGAAAAAAAAGAAAATTAAATAATTTTTTAATTTCTATGCAAAACCTTAAACATCATATACAAAAACAGAAGGAATATACAACATTATGCATTTTTTTTTGACTAATGTACATGAATAAAAAAAATCGACTATTTCATATTTTCGTATATGAGTTTGTTGAAATATTTGAGTATATTCTTTTATTGATATTTAAGAAAACTAAAGTTTACTTACAACAGAACTTCTATAAATTAATACTCGATAAATTAATAATCACTATAAATTAATACTTTTTGTTGGTCTTAAGTCGGGCTAGTATAAAAATTAGCAAATTTTAATAAGATAATAAAATAATAATTTTTTTGAAACTCTTAAGTAAAAATATAGTCTCAATAATTAAATAAATTAATAATTATACATTTAAGCATATATAAATAATATAATATAGTAAAATGTAATTATATTATTATTTTAATTTTATAAAGATTATTTGACTTATTTTCAAATTTACTAGTATGATATTTTCTGAATAAATTTTACATTGTTGAAAACATTTTTTTTATTTTTTAACAAATATTTTGAATTTGAATTGAAATATCTCTATAAATTAATAAGATATTAATATATTATTGAGGTTTTACTGTGTATTTATTTATATATTATTTTAATTCTTTAGTTTAATTTAATTTAAAGCATTATTTAATTCTAAATAGATATATATGAGTGGGCAAATGTAACAAACAGGAAAACAAAGGGGTGATTTTCCAAAACAATAAAAATTATGGGGCTCTTTTGTTACTATATTTCTCATCTCCTTTCCACTAATTTGCCCCGTTTAACCCCATCTTCTTCCCAATTCAATTTCTTCTCACAAAAACCCTAACATTTAGGGGCCTGTGCAGTCGCACAGTTTTGCTCCAAACTGTAGACGAGATGGAGATTGTCGAATACATAGGAGAGATTGTCGAATCTATAGAAGAGATTCCAGTGCAAAACCCGGAAGTAGAAGACTTTTCATGGGCTGATTTGAGCTGGACAAAATTCGGGACATCGGAGCATCACGACGATGTAGCACTGATTCCGTACGCAAGAGTCGACGAATTCATCATCGGAGAATGCTCGAAAGCCGAGTGCCCTACGCGGTTTCACATCGAAAGAGGAAGGAAACGCTCTCGAGGCAGCCTCAAGGAGTACAAGAGCGATGAGTATTTGGAGTATCGACTGTAAGTTTCAATCTCTTGACTACTCAAAAAAAAAAATCTCCATTTCCGGTTTTGGGGTTTCAAAAATTTCACTTCTTTTCGAAGGTATTGGTGTTCTTTTGGTCCCGAGAACTATGGAGAAGGAGGTGGTGTGTTGCCCAGTAGAAAATACCGTCTCAACACTAGGAATCGAGCTGCGAGACCTCAGTCGATGAGAGGATGCACATGTCATTTTGTGGTGAAACGTCTCTACGCTCGTCCTTCTCTTGCGCTTCTCGTTTACAACGACAGACGCCATGTGAACAAAGCTGGGTTTACCTGTCATGGACCTCTTGATGGAGACGCGATTGGTCCTGGCGCAAAGAAGATTCCTTATATATGCAATGAGATTCAGCAGCAGACCATGTCAATGATCTATCTTGGGATCCCCGAAGAAAACGTTTTGGAGAAACACATTGAAGGGATTCAGAGGTACTGTGGCTCTGATGCAACGGTTAATAGTCTTGCCTCTCAGTATGTTCATAAACTCGGGATGATTATCAAACGGTCGACTCATGAGCTGGACTTAGATGATCAAGCTAGTATCAAGATTTGGGCTGAGCGGAACAAGAAATCAATCTTCTTTTATCAAGAACCTTCGGAGACGGATCAGTTCATGCTCGGGATTCAAACGGAGTGGCAGCTGCAGCAGTTTGTGCGCTTTGGGCATTGCAGTCTCGTTGCAGCTGATTCTACGTTTGGGTTAAAGAGACTTAAGGTAAAAAAGGATCTTGCTTTTAATGTGCGTTTGAGAAAGTTATGTGCTTTATTTTGATCACTTAAAATGCTATGGCAGTATCCTCTGTGCACGCTTCTTGTATTTGATTCAAGACATCATGCTCTCCCCGTTGCTTGGATTATCTCTCGTAGCTATATGAAATCTGATGTTGAGAAGTGGATGAAAATACTACTCCAACGCGCACAGAGTGTTGAGCCTGGATTTAAGATCAATGGCTTTATCATCGACGATGCTGCAACAGAGACTGATCCCATAAGGTATGACTGATGATGCTTCAAATCTTAAAAAAAAAAGTTTCAAAATATGGTAACGAGTTGTATTGTGAACTGGCTCATTTGCATCTTCTTTTTTCTTTACAGGGACACATTTTGTTGCCCCATCCTTTTCTCTCTCTGGCGTATTCGTAGATCATGGCTTCGTAATGTAGTGAAGAAGTGCGATAACATTGAGGTTCAAAGAGAGTTGTTCAAATGTTTAGGAGAAGTTGTGTACAGCATTTGGGATGGAGTAGATTTATCAAAGGCTCTTGAAAGGTTAACTCAGGATTTTGTTGAACAAACCACCTTCATGCAGTATTTCACATCCAATTGGTTGCCTAAAATAGGTTAGATGTTTCCCTTAAACCAATTCACCATCCCATCCCTTGTATATAGATACTAATAGTATTTAGTTACGTATACTTCGATTTCTGCAGGAATGTGGCTGTCAACTATAAAAAGTCTTCCGCTTGCAAGCCAAGAAGCATGCGGTGCTATAGAAGCTTACCATGTAAAGCTCAAAGTGAAACTGTTCGACGATACACACCTTGGTTCACTTCAGAGAGTAGATTGGTTAGTACACAAGCTGACCACTGAACTCCACTCGAGTTATTGGCTTGATCGGTATGCTGATGAGAGTGATGCCTTCCAAATTGTTAAAGAAGAATACATAGCTTCTACGTCATGGCACAGAGCTTCAGAGATTCCAGACTCTGCTGTTACATTTGACAGTAATAACACCCTTGTTGCAAAGGTTCAGTCTCAGAGAGACGCTGAAGTAACTCGAGTTGTGTGGAATCCAGGTTCGGAGTTTTCCTTCTGCGATTGCGCTTGGTCTTTGCAAGGGAACTTATGCAAACACATCATAAAGGTAAACGCGATGTGTGAAAGCCGTGAAGGATACGGTGACTCAATGTCCTTGAGGTCGTTCAAAGAGAAGCTGAGAAACATAGAGACGAGACCTATGGATGACTCGATAGGGTTGGATCTGTCAATGGCATTGGCGCTGCAGATGTTTAATCAGGTAAAGCAGTTGGTGCAACTAAGCGAAACAGAAGATATCAGCAACATAGTCAATGATTTGCCGGTGAAATGGGGTTGTAAGAAAGGAAGAACAACCATAGGCATCCCTGCTTCTATTGCTGCGTATACAAAGAAACAGAGTCAGAAACGGAAGCGATAAGTCAAGAGATGAGATGAGATGATAAGTAGTAGCATAGATCACTAGCCAGGATTTTGAGTAGCTTCAGAGTTCGAAAATTCTTGGAAGGTTAGTACTAGTTTAAGAGGTTTTTGACGACACAAACCATTACTTCTCCTTTGGGTTTTTTTTTTGGTTTTGTTTTTGTTTTTGGCGAAGTGTAAATCTCTGCAGCTTTTTTTATTGCAAAAAAAAATAAACAAGCATACACCATTCTCATATCTTCTAAAGGGATCAAGTAAACAGAAGCAGAAACAGAGCTTTTACTAAAATAGTAAAATGAAGAAGACAAAAGAGATGGATTTTAAAATCCTTTAAAAACGTTATTGAATGTATGTGATTTGTAAAACTGACAAAAGAAATCTGTAGTTATTTTTAAAAAAAAAGTTTCTAAAAAAATTGAAAGATAAAGTCAGATGTAAGTATAAAGCATATATATACAGTATATTGCAGATTCCATAATCTTCTAAAATACTAATGCACGGTATATTGCAGATCGTACTCTCTGGAAAAAAAAGTACCATCTTTCAAGACCAAACCCATAACCGCCGATCAATGTTCATGCTTCACTTCCAGGTTTATAGATCTCTCAAGTCATAGTCTTATCTCTGTGTTCTCCTGCTTATTTTATGAGCGACGGAATCTTCAACTAGGTGGAAGTTCAATGTATAAAGCATATAGTAATAGCAGATCCAAAACCCTTCTTACATTTTATGATACAGATAAAAAAAAATTACAACCTTTTCAAAACCCATAACCGCCGATCAATCGTCCTGCCTCATCACATTGTCTTAATCTATGTTCTTCGGTGCTTCCTGGTTGTTATAAAAAAATTAGGTTAAAAATATTTTGCTGTAAATATTCAAAGTCTTATCGCATGAAACAAGAGTCGTGCAGTGACACAACCATGTCCTCGCTAATTACGGTTTTTGATCTCTCATGTCATTGTCTTTATTCGTCTTGGTTGTTTTATAAAATCAAAAAAAAAAGGTATGATCTTACAAAATCCATAGCAGCCGATCAATCGTCCTGCTTCTCTATCTGGTTTTAGATCACTCATGCCACTGTATTATTCTCTGTTCTTCCTGGTTGTTTTAAGTAATTTAGATGTTCATTTTGTACGAAAGCAATTCAATTTCTGGATTGTGTTTTGCTTTATGTATTAGTGGTTTGGTAGTAAGTTGTTACACTTAGGTCTTTAGTTATTTAGTTGCGACTATGTTTCTCTACTCTGATCTTGTCAAACTTACTATTCAGCCTGAGGAATTTTATATTTTGAGTTTCTGGTTTCATGTGCTGAAGCTTACAAAATAGAAGTAAATTCAGCAAGTATGAACTAAGTTTACTTTAGCTGACAAAAAATAGTAACAAAACTACATTCATGGCTCTAACACTTGTTCTTGACTTTGCTTGTTGTTTTTTAGGGTTTGTAAATTGACTTTCTTTGGACATGCAAAAACTTTTAGGTATTGGTGGCTTTAACAGTCATCATGGTGGTAGATAAAAGAGAAGGGAAAGAAGGATCCCAAGGAAAAGGTGAATATATTCAATGGAGACCAGAAGAGAGCAAATTATTGATTGAACTAGTGGCGAGCTGCTTCAAGAAGGGATGGGTTGATCCCCATGGAAGAATGTTCAAGAAAACCGTTGAGACAAAGATACTTTCCGTTCTTAACGAGAAATTTAATAGCCGGAAGACTTATAAGCATTACATAAACCGTATGAAGATTTTGAAGAACCAATACCGAGATTTTGTCAATCTTCTTCATTTTGATTCAAAGTTTGAATGGGATCCAACCACAAAGAAGTTCACTGCTCCTGATGAAGTGTGGAGTGATTACTTTAAAGTAAGTTCTTTATATTTTCACTTTTGTCCATACATGTAGTTGACTAATATTGTTAAATAATTATAGATTCTTGTTTTTTTTAGGAATTTCCGAATCAAAGATATATGCGTTACGAGACATATGAAGACTACGAGAATATGAAGATAATATTTGGAAAAAATAGGGCAATGAGGAGGAGAATTGATAGATCACATTCTCAAGCACTTGAAGTCTTAAAAGATGAGAAACCGAAACAAGAAGTTGATCTTACTAATGATGATGATGATGATGATGATGATGATGATGATGATAATGAGGTTCACGAAACAATGGAAGGGACTTCACTCTACTTGAAGAATTTCGTAGAAAGTCCATTACCGAGTCAAGGAAATAGAAGTGATGATGCATTTGATGATTTAACAGACGATCCATCATCAGTCACGGAAAAGGATGTTTTGGTAAAGATTTGCACAGAGCTAAGATCAATTGATTCGGTCAATAAACAGATGCTTCACATAATGCAAGAAAGATTTGTGGTTGATGAAAACAAGACGAAAAATGTTTGGGATGCTATCAAAGAGATTCCTAATTTGTCCAACAATGTCCGATACAAAGCTCTTACAATGATTCACAAGCTTGACATGAGAGATGTATTTTTTAATATGTCTGTTGAAGATCGTCTAGGTTGGATTCAATGCAATACCCAATGAAGACTTGAACTCCAAGCTACATGCCTACATTTAGTATCCTTTGTATTCTTAAATCGTAAGCTTTGTAGTACAGAGAGTTAGTCCCATTTTGTATACGGTGTAATCCTTATAAGTTTTTTTTCTTTTTGCTTTTTTTTTTTTGCTAGTTTTCAGCTTTAATAACAGCAGTTTTTTTAAAAAAGAATTTTTAGCTTTTTTGTTTTTAGTTTTTGGTTTTTGGTTTTTGCCATAGATTTTATGGCTTTCTTATGAGATGATATTATAAATTTATTAATTTTAAAAATAAATAAATAATTTGAGTTTATAAAGAAAATTAATGAAATTTCTAAGTTATAAAAAATATTACCAATAAACCAAACATATAGGATTATGATTTGACAAAACGGTTTATATGGAACTGTGTTAACTTAAAAAAATCATATTTTAATTAGTTAACTTACAAATATATCTTGTAAGTGGTTTGTAGAAAAATAATAATGCATATATACATTATCTTTGAGTTATAGATATATTTGAAATGATTATATTTGATTGAATTATAAATTATAATAAGTTTTTGTTTGAATGACAATTTATTTTCGTTAAACTATGTACTTAATGTTTTGGATAAATTTGTTAAAAGTAAGAAATTCTTTTCACACCCATCTTTCTACCGCAAACACTCAAGAAATCCATAAATACAAAAATAAAAAATAAAAAAAAACAAAAAAAAAAACAATCAAGAAATCTTTTTATTTAAAGTTGTTTTATGCCGAAATACTTTCCAAATCCAGAATCAGAATTATAGCAGCAATTAATATAATAACACCTAAGTTAAAGGGGGTTTTATGCAAATAGCTCCAACTGGCAAAATGAAACGCACGTTTTCTTGCGTTTCGCCTTATCTTATCTCATCGTCAAACAATTTCTTATAGAAAGAGAGCGCGCGAAGAAATTCTGTCCACTTCCTCTGATTCTCCAAAGCTTGTCAAGCTTTTTTTAAGTAAAATTCAATTAATTATCATTTCTTTTTAGTTAAAAAAATATGCATTATCATCTTCGTCATCATCTTTCCCTGTCTCGCTTCTTCCTCTCCAATGGCCGATTCCAAGGAGCTCGGCTCGGCGAACCGTCGAATCTCTGCCGTCACAAATCATCTCATTCCCGTGGGACTAATTCCAACTCGCGTTGACTCAGTGGAACTCTGCAATGCTTCGTCGATGAATGACAATTACCACAAGGTTCATGGTGAAGTGCCGACCAACGAAATCGTATGGAGAAAAGCTGATTTCGTCGGCGAAGGAGATAACAAAGAGTTTGTTGACATTATATATGAGAAAGCCGTTGGTGAAGATATTGCGAAGGTTTGTAAGTGTAAGGTGTTTGATGAAATTCCTGAGAGAAGTGGCTTTTTTTTTCAATTGAATAGTTTTTGTTTTGGGGGTTATTGTAGATTACTATAAACCGGCCAGAGAGAAGAAACGCGTTTCGACCTCAGACTGTGAAGGAGCTTATGCGTGCGTTTAACGACGCCAGAGACGATAGCTCTGTAGGAGTCATCATACTCACCGGAAAGGTAAAGTTCTTAGGATTTGGTGATTTACTTCCGCAAAATGATATGAAGCAAGGATAATGTACTAGAACCATATTCAAAGTTGATTTCTTTTTTTTTTGTGTGATGGAACATCGGAAATGGAGTCCAGCAATCAAAAAATTGGTTTAGGTTATGTTACTTATTTGAGTGTGTAGCTATGAGCGTTGTTATTGAGTTTCAGAAGTGCCAATATCAAATCCTACCTTGGAGTTGATGACAGAGAGTTAAATAGTATTTCTCTGTTTTGGAAACCTGTTTGTGTAACGATTGTTCTGATTAGCTATGAGCTTTGTTGTTAAGTTTCAGAAGTGCCAATGTCAAATCCTGCTTTGGAGCTGATGACAGCGAGTAAAATAGTAGCATTCCTCTGTTTTTGGATATCTGTTTGTGAAACGATTGTTCTGAATAGAGAAATCGATGGTTTTAGGGAACGAAAGCATTTTGTAGTGGTGGTGATCAAGCGTTAAGAACACCAGATGGTTATGCTGACCCCAAGGATGTTGGCCGCCTTAATGTGCTTGATCTCCAGGTATGTCCTTGATCTACGAGACAAAGAGAAAAGTTCAGTATTCGTGTATTTTCGACCTTTTTTCTTCTGTTCGTTCTCAGGTTCAAATCCGTAGACTACCAAAACCAATTATCGCAATGGTAAGCACCTTCAAACAACTTTTTGCTTTACTCTTTGTGCTGATCTTGGATCAGTTGACTATGTATCCCATGAGCAGAGAGCATTTCTTGTGGCTAATAATACTGTTTGCTTTTGGACTAAATCAGGTTGCTGGTTATGCTGTTGGAGGAGGACATATCTTGCACATGGTCTGCGATCTAACTATTGCAGCTGATAATGCGATTTTTGGTCAAACGGGTCCTAAGGTTTTCTTTTCTCACACTAGCCTCTGTTACAGTCATGAATGTGTCAGTGAAGTTGGGAGGAACCAGAGTTATTACTATTTACTAATCATGTGTATCGACCTTTATGTATGCAGGTTGGAAGTTTTGATGCTGGTTATGGAAGTTCCATCATGTCTCGTCTGGTAATAGCTCTGCAATGCAACTTCCAAGATCTAACAAACATGAGCTGATCAAACTTGTTTGATAAACAAAACAGGTTGGTCCTAAAAAGGCACGAGAGATGTGGTTCATGACGAGATTCTACACTGCTTCTGAAGCGGACAAAATGGGACTTATCAATACAGTTGTACCGGTAAAGTTAATCAGTAACCCATAGTGTTGACAAAGTTGGTAACTACTGTATTGTTCCTTCACTGAGACATGTTTTACGTTGCAGCTAGAGGATTTGGAGAAAGAAACCGTGAAATGGTGCAGAGAAATCTTACGGAACAGCCCAACAGCGATCCGTGTGCTTAAGGCAGCACTCAATGCAGTGGACGATGGCCATGCCGGACTTCAGGTACGTCTTTTCCACCAAATTTGCAATCTAAGTCACAAACTCACTGTAGTTTCATTACTTGTGTGTATGTATACACAGTTTAAAAATTGGATTTTTACTAACCTTTGTTGTTGCTGCAGGGACTAGGAGGCGATGCGACACTCTTGTTCTACGGAACCGATGAAGCTACCGAAGGTAGAACCGCGTATATGCAACGCCGACCACCGGATTTTTCTAAATTTGCCCGACGACCTTGAACTAATTACTAGCTCCGTTCAGGTTTTTTTATTACAACATTTGTCCTCATTTCTTTGTTCGGTTTGTGTTTGTCTACCAGATTACTTGCGACTTGAAAGTATGATACACAATGAAGAGTAATAATTTATCAAAAAAAACCAAATTTGAATTCATAAAAACGGAAACGTTAAAACTTAGCTGGACGAGAAATCCAGTGGAGATCACAAAAGCCCTAACTCCCAAAAAGAAACAACAGAAAAAACCCTAAAAACACAAACGATCTTCACCAAATCGAGAAAGAAGGAATCGATCACGCCGAATTCCGATCAACAATGGCGGAAACAGCGTCCTTGGACTCCTTCAGAAGCTTGATACTGTTCTTCAGCTTCTCCCTCTTGATCGCCACCGACGGAGACTCCTCAAGCATCTTCTCAACTTCTCCTCCGCCTTCGGGATTCACCATTTCCGCCACGATCTCCTTCTGAAACTGGCTGTTCACGAGATTCTTCACGGTGAACTGAAGATAAAGCGCAAGGTTATCTACAATCCTTCGTACTACGATGGTCCAGTACGCTGAGATTCTGACATTCATGTCGAAAGCTTGCCTAAGCAACTGTGCGTCATACTTCCACAGATGCGAAATATTAACATTCCCGTACCCGAAATAACATTTCCTCTGTACATTGGTGATGAAGTCTCCTTGATTTGTTATCTTCTGGGTGTAAACTGTCATGTACTCTGGGTTACATGTGTAATCCGTCTGTTTCTCCATCTCAACGATCTCGATCACTCTGTTCACGGATTGTTCCTTGATCTTGGAGATGAGATTTCGACCGGCACGTTTGATGGAGGATTGAATCTGTGGGAAGTTATCAGAGTGGTTCGTAAGAACAGAGGAGATAACATCTTCAACATACTCCCATATCCTCTTGATGAAATCGACAGGCTTAGTATGAATCCCATCAACACGCTGTGAAAGTATAGCCAAGAAGGCTGATCTTGGGATGAAATTGGGAAGGCCAATACATTTGCACTCTTCAAGAACTTTGATTTCGTCCATCAAGAACTCGGTCGCGTCCTCTGGCTTTGCTTGCAGGTTATCTGAGAATTTGCTCAACATATCAGCCAAACGAGCAGTGGAGTGCATGCTTTGCTCATCTGGATACTCAGAGAACTCTCCTTGGATAAGAATTCTTAAGAGAGACTCCTTTGCTGAGCCAATGATGTTCATGAAAGTCATCATAGCTTCCCCTGAAGATGTCATTACCATTGGGAGCTTAGACAACTCAAGCTCACTAATCTTCATCTTCTCATTGATCTTCTGTACAATATCAGGCAAACAACGGGAAATCATAGTTCCTTGGATCTGCATCAGCCTTTGAGCTAAAACGGGAATGCCTACAATGTCATGGTCAATCATGGAAAGGAGTGGATGAGTCCTGAAAAGTAACTCTTCTTGCATCCTAGCTTCTTGGTATGTCTCTTCTCCTACACGGTTCCTGACACAGACATAACCTAGTCCGATATTCACATCGTCTGCAGTTACTTTCTGCAGGAGACCTTCAGGAGCCATGTCTGCCTTTGTGACAACGGCAAGAGTCCTTTCCCCTGTTTTGTCAACTTGCCTGGACATACGGATGGACTCACAGGTGGTGAAGTCGACTGTAGCTGACAGAACATTGAGGATGATGGATTCTTGTGGCTCGATGTACTTCATAATCATCCCTGAAATCTGCTCATAGATGTTTTCAGGCTGTCCATTCACCGGAACTCGAGTTATCCCGGGAAGATCAACCATTGTCAGATCAGGAACACCATCTTTCTTCACATGGAGGGTCAGGGGAGTGTCTGAGACACCTTTACCAGATCCTACAACATAATCACAATTCACATCAATCCATGTCTTCATCTCCAACATAACACATAAAGCTTCATCACATTTAGTTTCAGTCTAAGAAATTGTCTTGCAGTTGGTTTATACTCAACACTGTGTCTGTGATTGTGATTAAGATCTTACCTGCAATTGCCTCAGTTGCTGTGCAGATAGCTTCAGCGATATGTTCCTCATCAGTATCAACTCTTTTGTCACCAAACTCAAGCCAGATCTCAGGTTCAGGGCTTGGACTTCTCTGGAGTCTCATCACAAGAGGAACCCTAGTGCAGATTCCTTGCCCACGTGGCAAACTGATTCCTGCTAATGACTCAAGAACACTCGACTTCCCCGAGGACTGGTCTCCAACAACAACAATGGTGGGAAGCTGGATGCCTTCTCTCATCACATTGAGGTTCCTTAGCCTGTCCACAGTGTCAAGCAACGGCCTGATCCGATCATTGTAAGAAGACACGATCGGTGCTTCATTGGGGATATGTTTGTGGAGATTTGTGTTGACAATAGCAAGAGAAGACATCCCAGCTTCGACATTAATGTCATAAACTTCTGGCATCTTACTACCTCCCATTTGTGCTTGAGATTAGTAAAAAATAAAAGAGACCGAGAAAGTAGTAAAAAGATAGAGACGGAGAAGATAGGTCTTTAGTCAGTGATACTCTAGTTGGTGGTGGCATCTATTATATAGAGTGGCTTGTGGTAAATCTTGAACTATTATTTTCGTGGATTCTCTCAATATATAATCTCTAACAGCTTCTTCCTTGTGTATCTTATAGGCTAAGCAAGAATTTTCGCCCCATCAGAAATTTTAGAAGAAAATGGCACTTATGCAAAAACAAATTAAGTAAATGAATATTAAGATAACTAGGAAAAGGGACCCTGCTTCGCGGGGTTAATTTGCAATATATTAAAAATTTAGTTAAAATTTATTTAAAATAATTATAAGTAAAATACATAAAATAAAAATTAATAATAAAAAATATAAACATTCAAAATAATTTATAATAATTAAAATAAAAAGGTATATTTTTAATTATTAACAATGAGTTCTAATGGGAAATATACAAACTAATTAAGATAAAAAGATTGTTACTACTAATTATTAATAAAAAAATAAAAAAAACTAAAAAATAATAAGATACATAACTTTTAAAATATGAAAATATACAATCTAAAAATATAATATAAATATGCGATTTTTAAACTATTTTTACAATTATTAAAAATTTGTATTCGTAAAAAAGTGTAAAGCAAAAAATAAATATCTAGGCAATCTTTCAATAATAAACTCACTAGTAAGAAAGTAAAAGTTAGACCCAATTGATTTTTTTTTTCTGTGGTTTTAAGCAGTATAAATAGCTTTGAAAAAACACAAATAACAGTTGTGATGGAAAAACACAACCATTTATAATGCAAAGACGCAACTATGAATTTTGAAAAAACACAACTTTTTAAAGCGCAAGTGGCATTTATTTGGATTATTATTATAGATAGAGTGGTTTTTTTTATGTGATTTGAATTATATAAATAATTCGAATAGACCCAAATTATCTGTGATGAAAAAAATGCAACCATTAATAATGAAAAAATGCAATCATTTATAATGAAAAAATACAACTATTTATATTGAAAGTATGCACCCACAAATTTTGAAACCACACAACTTATCAAAATTCAAATAGTCTTTCTAAACACAACCCCTGAATTATTAGATTTGATGTTATAAAAAAAAATGCTGACCTTAAAAACTTTCATTATTTCACAGTTTATTGTAATGATAAATCCACAATAGTAAAAAAATAAAAGTTAGACCTAAATAATTTTTTCTGTCGTTTTGAATGATATAAATAGTTTTGATAAGACACAAATAACAGTTGTGATGAAAAAACGCAACTATTTATAATGAAAAGAAGCAACCATTTATAATGAAAAGAAGCAACTATTTATAATGAAAAGACACACCCACACATTTTGAAACGACACAACCTTGTAAAGGATAAGTGGTATTTATTCAGATATTTATGTTTTACAAGTGACATTTATTCGGATAGTTACCAGTTTTGTCACCGGTCACCATTATAGTAAGAAAGTAAAAATCAGATCCAAATAAGTATTATAGATAGATAAAACATACATTAAAAAATTTTTTAAAAAATGTTTGGCTTAGTAGAAAGAAAACATAACCCTTGAATTATTAGATTTTATTTCATATAAAAGAATGCTGTCATAAAAAACTTTCATTATTTTACAGCTTATTGTAATAATAAACTCATTATAGTAAAAAAAATAAAAGTTAAACCTAATAAACATAAAGAAAATAAAAGTTAGACCCAAATAATTTTTTTCTGTGGTTTTGACCGATATAAATAGTTTTGAAAAGACACAAATTATAGTTAATGAAAGAACGCAACCATTAGTAATAGAAAGACGCAACCACAAATTTTGAAAAGACACAACTTTTCGAAGTGCTAAAGCAACCATTGGTAATGAAAAGACGCAACCACAAATTTTGAAAAGATACAACTTTTCGATATGCAATTAGCATTTATTGAGATTGTTATTATATATAGATTAAACGAAGACTAAAAATTGTCCAACTAAAAACCATTCAGATAACTATATTTCCATTGCTATTTTTTCTCAAATGGGTGCAAATATTTTTTTAAAAACATATAAAAAATGTTGACAAGCATCTTTAGAGAGCCTAGTCTATCTACTACAAAGCATAGCATATTAGGGCAGATAAAGCTTGTGTGTTAGTGGGTTAACTTTACTTTAATTATATTTTTATTTGCATTGTTATTTTCATAAGTGGGTGCAAAAAAAATTAAACCTAAATATTTTCAGAGCATCTATAGTATATAGGAGTTTAGTATTTCCACAACAAAGCAAAAATAAAGCATTGTAACGGGTTCACTTTACTTTAATTGTGTACGGAGTTTCTTTTTGTTTTTATTTTTATTTTTATTCCTAAGGACCACCGAGTACAATAAATCATCATTACGAAATTATAAACCTTATATTCCGCATTTCCTATTACCGAACTTCATTAAACTAGTTATAATCTCTCAAACCACATCCAAAGCATAAAAGAAAAACAGATTTTAAACTGAGTTAATTAGGTATATGACAAAACTCGGGATATAAATTAGGTAAATGGTAATTTTCCCAAAAATAAATAAACATACACCGTTTTTGCTTCTCTCTCCTAGGGCTTCGATCTCTTCTATAAATAGCCAAGGCATTGTCGGATTTGGTGAGAGTATGATCAGTTTAGTATGTTTGCCCAAGAAACAGTTTAGTATGATCAGTTCACGCATGTCTCCGTCATATCACCTAAAAATGTAAAGAAATGAAAAGGATAAAATTATATAGTTTATAGTGATTAAGATAATTCAAGTCTTAAATTTGAGCACTAGATGTCAGAAAAAGGAAATAATCTAACCTTATATTTAAGAATCGGTGGTACTATATATGACCAACTCCTAGCTATATCCTATATATGTCCATAATTGGTTGATTATCTAAAAAAAAAGAGGCAGATGTATTTCTGAATTAACATATATTAATCACGTAAATTCTGTAATGGTCAATATCTGAATTGCGTGTATTTAGTCGAAGTCGATCGATCACGAGATTCGACCATTCTATATACGAAATAAGATTAGAAAGTTTACATTACAACAAACTACAATCTTAACTATTATTTGACAAGCATGTTTAATGAAAAAAACTGATATGTCATCACATTAACAAAAGTTAGTGTAAATTAATGGTGACATAGAATTGTGACATGACAAATTTTCTAAAATAAATGAATTGTTTTGATTGGTTGAATTATAATTAAATAAATTATAAAATTATAACATTAATAAACTAGATTATAACACTAAAAATAATAAATTTAAATTTACAAAAAATAATAATTACTATGATTTCAATTTGATTTTACGTATATTCATAATAGATTGCATAAAATATGATTATGAAAACTTGACAACTAATATATATTTTATATTTTAAATAGAAAATAATAATAGACTATCCAATAAGATAGTATATACACTATATATTAATAATGTTAGGAGTATGATATATTATTATTTGTATATAATTTTCTAACATTTTTATATTATTATTTTTTGGAATTTGCGTAGCTTACTTTACCATCTTATTTGATCTCTTATCATTTTTTAAGTAAATAAAAAGTTTCTATCATACTCATATACAGTCTCATTGTAGATCGAGAATTAGAGATCAGAAATAAAACAAAATGTAACCAGATGAAAAAATAAATTATAAATAAGAAAAAAACAAATATGACTAAGAAGTAGAAGTAAAAATAAAAATAAATCTCTACTGTTTTGTTTTTCTGTGACACTCTCAAATTTTATTGTATGGAGTCATTTAAATCTAAAGAAAGAAAATTTATAATAAACACATGTGTGGCTTAAATTTTACAAGGAACATATGCGTGCAGACCAACCATAATAAATTTATTTTTTTCATCAAACCAATTCCTCAATATTGGACAAAAAGATAAGTGGAGAGCTACCGTAGAATTTTATAAAATATAATTTCATAAATTTTATAACAAATGTTTATTATAAATTTTATTTGATATAAATATACATATGAATACGAAGTAGAAGTAAAAGTAAAAATGAATCTTTACGACTTTGATTTTCTGTAAAAATCTCAGGTTATGTCTTTAGTTTAAAACATCTCTAACCCACCTTTATTTTAAATCTTCTAATTTAGAGGAAAAATAGTGATGAGATTTTTTTCTTCTATAATTAGAGGAAAAAGTAACAATCTTTCTTTTTCTTTTAAAATAGAAATAGGTTGGAGAGAAATCCACATATATTTTAGAGGAAAAAATAGAAAAATGCATTGGAGACGATCTAATTATTCAATATATTAAGGTTAAGAAACAAAATATGAGTCAAAGAAGACAAAAAACAAAGAATAGGTTTGATTGATTTTTTTTTTTTGAAATATTTAAAAATATTATCTTACACATATTAATTCTTTCATGCATATATTTTTTCAACATCTTAAAACATTATTTCATGAATCAAGTTTTGTATATACTATGGTTCATTATATATAAGAATAACACATATATCAAAGTTAGAAACAAAAGAACTCTTATTTTTTAATATAATAATTAAATATTAAATATATTATTTTACACTTTTAATTATATACATATAAGTTTACGATCCGGCTGGTTTAAACACTGCGGTTACAGGGAGTTTGTGGAAGCGAGCGATTGCGGGCTATAAAAACTTTGACGAAGAGATGAGCGGAGAGATACCAGAGAATTTTATAAAATAAGAATTAACAAATTTTATAATAAATTTTTATTATAATTTTTATTGAGAAACTATATATCACAAAAAATTGAAAAAATAAGAAATTTTGATTAAATACAAAACGATAAAAACGGTTTTCGTGATTGTTGTTAAACGCTGGAAATGGTATCGTGTAAAATAATAACTTTTGTGGAAAATATCAGAAAAACTAACTAACACCTAAATATTACTATTTACTAATTTATA